TTGTGGCCGTGGAACTTACTATGCTCCTGGAATTTAAAACTACGTTTTACCCCGCATATTATGGAAATTTCGAATAACCACACGAAGTCGAGTTAAATTTAATGCTAATTAATAATATATTAAATTTCTATTTGCCGGGCTGGCTACGCAACTGATGCAAATATAGCAATGAGAACTCACTTAGCGCTATCATGTACACACGCAAAAACGCATAACTTGTAACAATCTGCAGCAGATTTGTAGCGAGGTTGTTGGAACAAGCTTGTTGCAAGATTTGTTCGCACGGCTTGTCCCATCTTGTTGAGTTGTTGTCAAGCAGATGTGCTACAAGCTTAATGACTTCTACGGCTATGTTAGTTCTGCTTCAACGGTTGTTCCAACAACTTGCTATCAAGCTGCAGATCATGAAATAGTACTTGACAACAATTTATTAGTAACAAGCTTGCTAAAACTTGACAAAACAAATGAATTGCAACAAGTTGGCAAACTTGCTACAAGGTTGTTGCGATCGCAACTTTTTCACAAGAAGTGAGATTTTATGTGTATTGCATATTTGATACCCAGTGTACCTCATGTCTAATACCCAATTCAATGCTAATAATTGTCTGTGCATATCTTCTTTATTATACGGCCTTAAGTTAAGACTATCTGCTGCCATCCCTGACTGAATGAGCTGAAATGTATTCTTCTATCAGCGCAACGACACACATCAATATACAACAAGCATTGCGGTGGTTCAGTACTGGCGAGCGACTCTTGTCGCTCATTCGTTCGTCGCTTCCATCGATTCGTACATGTTTAAATATGCATTCCAACCAAGCTTTTCATAATTTCAATGAACACATTACCATACTCGCATATTCGTTCGTGCTCGTTCTACGGTGCAGGTTAAAAAAATAAGGTATGCATTAAGTGATTAGGCGAGTGATTAAGTTAATTTTTGCGTTTCAACCTTTTAAATTTGTTTTTCTGGTGACTTTAACATTATTAATTCCAGATTTCACTAATTTTTATTGTTGTATATCCCAAAGGTCAAAGGTTTTATAGATGTTACTTTACAAACAAAGTTAATACTACAGGATGCATAAAAAAACTGCACTACAGGGTGTCTCAGAAAAAACGAAAACTATTGAAATCACTCATTGTTAAAATTTGAATGCCGTGTGCACGAATTTTAGCCCGATATAATGCAACTCAGTAAAATGCTAAATGCTTTGTGTTGCTAGAGAAAGGGGACATGTCGAAGGTCATGGTGATTGAGATGCACATTTAAATATTGTTAATAAATATCATTTTCGCGTACGAGCAAATTTTACTGCATCATATTCATGCATAAAAATGCTTATGGCAAACATTTACACACCTGTGGGTCCCAACAGAGTGCTTAGGCATTCAAACTGTAACAATTACATTGTTATGCGTGATTTCAAAGGCTTTCGTTTTTTTGAGACACCCTGTATACCATAAATTGTATGCACGAGATCATATGCACAGAGTGTCCCCCAAAAAAGTCCCCCCCTAATGAAATGAAGCTTTTGTTTCAATTTGAATGCATGATCAACGAAGTAGTGTGTAAATAGCATAGTTATTAGGTTGAGGAATTCAAATGAAGCGTCTTGCCTTCGATTGGGTTTATCATAATATTAAGGCAATCAGATTCTAACAAAGGCTTGATTTCAATAGAGCGGATTTTTTGGGGACACCCTGACATTAGAATTCCAATGGCTGTGCAACTAATTACGTTTCTGGGATTTCAAGTGAATACAAAACAAGCACACATAGCCAATTAAACTTGTGAGTTCGATTACGAATGGCTCAGTTAAGACTGACAGAACTGAGAGAATTAATTTCTTGTTTTAAACGTATATACGAGCAAACTCAGCCTCCGACTAAATCGTTGTTAAATCTGTTGTTACTGAGTTATGTAAGCCATTCGCCATCGAACCAATTTTAATTCACTTTGTGTGCTTTTTTTTATAGTACTGCACGTGCAAACGTATTTTCAAATCCCAGAAGCGTAATTAGCTGCACAGCTATTGAAATTCTAATTATCATCTCGTGCATACAAATTATGATTTGCAGGTTTTTTTATACACCCTGTGGTAATAATGATGTTATGATGTATCCAAATTAGATACACCTGGAATTAATGACCTTTAGGTCACTAGACAATCAGATTAAAAAGCTAATTAATTTCACAAGATGCACAACATGCATCAGTTTAGGGATTAGTACTATAATAACCTACTATTCATTGATCCCTCCCGCCAATCAGTAGAGATAGAGACGTAGTCGGCGATCGAAGGGAACGTGATGTGAATATCCTTCGTGCTTGTCTTCGCCCCAGTGGCGTAGCCAGCACGACAACTTGGGTGGGGGGTACATTCATATATTCGTGACACGCATGATTAATTTCCTTTCAAATTAATTGCTTTTACACTCTCTTAACCTGAATATATGAATATTGGCCCACCCAATTATCGATGCTGGCTACGCTACTGCCTCGCTCATGACAAACACTAATATTTTTGGAACCTGTAAAGGTACCCTCTAACAACTGGCACCTTTGATCACACTGTCACACGAAACTCAGCAGAAGTGAAAGACGTGTGGTGTGTAAGACAATGGTCGCGACCGACAATTCTTTATTCCTACAAGGTTAATCAAGACCGGCTTTATCATGTAAAAATCTTTGATACAGTATTTGGGTTAAAAGTTTCAGAAAACTTACTTATTTTAAGCTTTCCAGAGCTTTGCAAAAATGTTCATTCCTTTAAAACTTTGTTAGGTAATTCAGCTAATTTTCATTTGTAATTAAATTAATAAATTAGGCAGCATATGCGAGAGCTCATTTATATAAAAAAGTAAAAGTTTGTGCCTGATTTAAAAGAGTTTGCTCACGTTAAACAATTTTTTAAAAAAATTTTACAGTAGTTCATCTAACAAATTTTTTATCAACTTAAAGTTGAGGACTCATTGCAAAAAATGTGTGATATATATAGAGTACGGTGTAGCACCTTAAGATATTAAGTTCAAGTCCCCAAACACCTTCAATTAATCAGAGAATACGACATGCACGCCTTAATTATCGGTAAATATATAACTAAAGGCGGAACACCAAAATTTCAAGAAAACTACATAGTATTTAATAGTTTGAGGTAATTATGTAACACACATCGAAAATTTGGTATAAAGTTTTTTCCATATTGTGTGCGAATCCCCGAATCCAATAATAAAATTAATATAGAAATGCGTGTGAATCCAAATGATATATGCAGTGATGTTTTGCAAATTTTGGAAGTGGGGGAACGCTTATTTTTAAGGTCAAATGGGCGTGGCCTATACATGGGCGTGGCCAATATATACTGAACGCCTCTTGTCACTACCATGCATTCCTCGGTCAAGCTTGCGGCGTGTTGTTTTGAAGCGTAAGTTTGGCCAATCCTCTTCTCATATTTGGGCAATGAAATGAAATGCCATGTTATGTCACGTACGGAAACGATTTAAATAATTTAAGAAAATTATTTTCATTCTATGGGAAAAGTAAGCATATAGAGTCGCAGTACTAATATGTAAAAAACTTTTTAGCGCATGTAAAGTGAAAAATGAGGTTGAAAAGCTCCAAAGCGTGTGAATTTATATATTAGCGAAAACATAATTAAAATGTGGGTGTGGTAAAACGTACGTTTTGATGCGTCAAACGTACGTTTTGAAAGATCAAACGTATATAATTTTCAAAACGTAAACGTACGTTTTAAGACTGCTCGTCGCAATTAAGCTTCGCGCAAATGGTAGTATCCAGTTCCTGAACATATCACATAGATTCAAACCACTGATCCAAACGCATAATTCTATTTATCATCCGATTCGTGGATTCACACGAACAATATGGAAAAAACTTTAAACCAAACTTTCGATGTGCGTCACATAATTAGCTCAAACTATTAATTATACGATGTTAGTTTTATTGTATTTTTTGTGTTGTCTGGACTTAGTAATTAAAAAAGAAAAGAAAGTCTCAATATATGAATAACTAATCTTGCGCTTCAACACTTGTCTTCAATCTTTGTGTTCTGTGTTTTATCTATTTTTGGTGTTCTGTGTTCCATCTTTTACCAGACGCCATAATTAAACGCTCCCTTATCTAGCTTTGTCATGCAATTCCCATACCACGTACTCAAAATTTTGGGCATTCAAAAAAAATATAATATAAACTTACACAAATACATTAAAATTCTGAGAAATAATTGTCATCTCTATATTACTTCAAACGTTGTGCACGCCAAGAATCCAAAAATTTCTGGACACGTTTTGTATGGAAAGTTATACTTTATTACGTTTTATTACTTTGTGTTATACAGTTTTTTATGAACTCACGCGGCCATAGTTTGACACCGTATGCAAATTTCGGCGGAATTGAAGTAGAACGTTCATTTTGTCCGAATAGACCTTATGCATAATCACGTATCAAGACTTGACGCCGGAAGGGAATTCTGGTTTTAGTAGTCACGGCGAAAATTTAAAACTTCGAAATTTCCCGCCATGACTAATAAGACCAGAATTCCATGAAGGTGTCACGGCTTGTTACGTCATTATGCATAAGGTCTATTCTCTAAACAATATTTCTTCAATTTTAGGCGAAATGTTCGGACATTATATACAGCATATTATGTGCCTGAAGGAAGATCTTATAAAATATATTATTATGTCAGAACGTGCACTACGACATGCACTTTTTGTTGGGGAGAAGACGGGTATGTAGGTAAGTTGCATAAACACATAGCAGTATAGGACCTAGAAATATTTCAAATGTCTTTTGTAAGTGAAACTTAAACCTAACCCAATGGAAGAACAAAATTAGTTTTTCAGTTTGTGTAATGGAAAATTAATTCAATGAACAAAGCGCTTGTTTTGCACAAAAAAAGTTGCGATAAATTTGCATTTCTGCTTTCAGTGATATTAGCGTTTCAAGCCATGTTTGACTAATTTTCAAAAGAAAAATGTCCAACTCCCATCGGCAGGAAGAATGTAATTTTTATCAGACGGTTCGAAACATAAAGTTAGTGCTCTTTCAACAATACAACATCCACTGGAGGGGCAAGATAGAGACTGAGGCCAATGCTTACGGCCTTTCCTAATCGATCCTGAAATTTTAGACCGCTTAATAGTAGAATTGCATTGCAAGTTGCAAGAAAAGTTGCACCGTGTAACATGGCCTTAACTTAGTTAACTATGGAATAACTATGTGTTTTGTGCAACGAATTTGAGCCATGTACTTAACTAACTAATTCTGTAGTAATCGGCAGAAAAGCAAATGGAAAACTGTTTACACATATGTGAGAAGAACCAGGAAAATTTACAGATGCAGCTACGGCTGGAAGCAAAGTGGATCTAGTTGCACAATACGTAAGTATAGAAATAAACATGCTCAAACATCCTTCCAAGTGTTAAGTTAACACCCAAAATAATTTAAATAGTGAATGATACATGGATGTGCGGAATAATGGATTAATTTATTTCGAGTGTTGTTTTTATTATATTATAAAAAACTGGGTTTTTGAAAAGTTTTTTTTATCCCCCGTAGAGCGTATACCTGATTCCTGATTGGTGTATCAGACATGATAATCGCATGCACATGCTTGCCACATGTGTTTTATAAATCAGTCGCTTCTTACAATGGCTGATTTGCCAATAAAGCACTGCATATTATATCATAAAATGAAATAATCATACTGATACCTCTAAAAGAGCCTTTAATGCCACAAACAAAATTACCCTCATTAGAAAAAATCCGGGTAGGTAAATTCACCTGAAAAAAGTCTCATCGTCGAAAACATGTTTTTATTCTAGCTGAATGCTACGGCTGTTATGGTCATGGGCATTGTAATCGTCCTTGGACGTGTTCTTGCAACTCGGGATGGACTGGTTCACGATGTCGAAGTGGTAATGTCGAGCATTAAAACCTTGCTTTGAAGACAAAAGCTGATTCTCTTTGATAAGGAACTGTTATGGACAATGGTGTGGCCAGCATCGATAATTGGGGGGGGGGGGGTGCATATCCACACATATTTGTATTTTGTATGATCAATTCCTTTTAAACTTGTTTTTATAGTCCTTTTACCACAAATACATCAGTATGAGCCCCCAATTATTGATGCTGTCTACGCCACTGGTCATGAACTAGTTATTTTCAAAGATGTATATATATATATATATTAATTGCCTAGGATTGTATTCTGTAGACTTTTAAATTGTGTGACCATGTATTATATTTATAGATATTAACGAATGTTCTCGAACCTGGAAAAACAGTTGTAGTTATAAACCTGGCTGCATTAACACTGATGGAAGTTACCGATGCACATGTGCAAGCGGTTTTCGCTTGGGCCCTGACAGGAGAAGATGCAATGGTAAATATATATGTATATTTATATATATATATATATATATATATATATATATATATATATATATATATATATATATATATATAAAATTGTCAACACCCTGTTGCGATGACAATGTAAATATGTATAAACGTGTTAATGTAGCGATGACAATGTATATATATATAACCTGCTTAAAAAGGTTTTCTTTCGTGTTTCCATGGAAAATTTAATTTGATGTGGAATTTTGATATAATATAGATATTAACGAGTGCCGCCAACACACGCACGGCTGCAGACACCCTGCAAGTTGCCAAAATACTCGAGGCAGTTACAGATGTACTTGCGGGAGTGGATATTTACTGGGTAGTGATCAACGAACTTGTAAAGGTAACCAAAGAAAGTTTGATATAAATATACCTGAATTTATTACGATTTAAATCTATTTTCAAAGTGAATATACGAGTTACTTGATGATTCTGTTATATGCAGATGTTAATGAATGCACTACATATCAAAACGGCTGTAGTTACCAAGCTGGCTGTCAGAATACAGTTGGAAGTTATTTATGTACATGTCCACATGGATATTATCTTGATGGTGACAGAAGAACATGTCGAGGTAACACAAAAATTGTGCATATGCCATATGGGAAGTAAAACTATATCATATTCGCTGAACCAAAACTTTCACAAGGCTACATAAATCACAGTCTCCTGGAGACAAAACGTATAATTAGGAAAAATACATGCATTCAGTACCCCCTTGCCAATTTAAACCAAATCATCAAAAACGGGAGTCACCTTAAAGGGAATACTTTAAACAGCCTCTTAACTATTTGAGTTTGAACTTGACTTTGTTCTAAACGATTTCTAAATTTTCTGAAGTCACCCATGCTAAAAGGAGTATTTTCACACGAATTTCTATTTACTCTACACATCGAAAGTTAGCTAGGCTGCTTCGGATATTGTTTAGCTATTGTCTACCCGTGTGGTATATTTTGGCGTTTGTTCGATACTTATCAACTAATACGCATGTTTTTGTTTTCAAAATTGTACAATTTTCATAATCATGCAGGCGCTTTAGGTATTTATATTCTTAAACACTACATTATTTTCCATGTACAGACATCAATGAATGTGACAACAGTGACTGTGATCACAACTGTATAAATTACCCTGGTGGATATACCTGCTCTTGCAATAATGGGTATCGAGCTAACACAAATGACTTCAAACGCTGCATTGGTGGGTGGCCTATATAACTTGTACTGCTAGCCAGTGAGCCTCAGATATATATCACGGAAAAGCCATGATCCCGCCTGCTTCCGATTTGTAAAAATAAATTCTAATAATATTCTCTGCTTGCTTGTGTTAGATATTGACGAATGTTCTGAAAAATTGGCAGGATGTACTCAAATATGCACCAACACTGCTGGTGGTTTTAGATGCAGTTGTAATCCGGGATATTATCTTGGCTGGGACCAAAAAATTTGTAATGGTAATTTTATTCAATAATACTTATTAATACTTACTGTGTTATTCAATAATACAATGACAAGTATTTTCTTTCGCCTTTGTTCAGTACCAAGCCATTCAAAGTGTCAGTATTCGAAGCCTTCGTGGATGCAGAATGATAAAAAGCTTTCCACTGTCTGAAAATTTCCCCACTTTTTAATATGGCTCTCTAGGGTTTTTGCCAAAGTCAATACTGATGCATAAACAAGATTCCCAAACTATTACCTTGCGTGGTATTGGGGAGAAATGTTCACCAAAAAACATCACATATTAATCTGAAGTTTTTGGAACAATTACTTCACACTTAAATTATGTCACCATGGCAACAGTGTGCGAAATAGAGTTATAAGCATCTTTCTACAATTTGTTTTATCTCGAAATTGCCCAAGCATTACTAAAATTTTGATAGCAAAAATGCTCGAAAACATTTATACTGTTAATACTGAACAAAAAAACGCAAAACTTGAATTTGGAATCATCCCTAGTCTTCGGTGGATAATACAAACGTCGCCGGCCTTTATTGATAATTCTCGATATCACGCTCAAATTCATGATCATTCAGTGATGTTCAATGCACTGTAATTTTTTACTTGCATTAACGTATTTATCTTCACATCGCTCCTTTTTGTTCTTTTTGATATCCTTAAATTAAGATATTGATGAATGCAAGGGCAATGAACATGGGTGTCAACATTCTTGTGAGAATTCATTGGGATCGTACAAATGCAGATGCAGAACAGGTTTTGAGTTGTTCAGCGATGGTAAAAACTGTACCGGTAATATTACAAATCAAAACCAGTGAGGTCAAATAAGACTGGAACGCTAGCTTTTGATGAGTGAAGCCAAGATGGCGGATCATGAAGCCATTCTTGTAGGTATGATCCAGGCCCCCGGCACGGAAATTTCAAAGGTAAAATCATAATTACCGCCATTTTACCTACGAAATTTCCGCGTGAAGGCCTGAATCATCTTGACTTCAAACTTTTTGACTTTTTGACTTTAAACTTTTCACAGAGCTAACGTCCCAGTCTTATTTTAGTTCACTGATCAAAAGACATTTCAGGCGTGAATATTTATCATAATTTTATTGTATCACTAAGTGTATCCACAAGACGATTTAAATCTTTATTTGCTTACCAGGTAAACCATGTCTACCTATTTACACGCCAGTGAATGGTAAGAAGAACTGCTCAGGTTATACAACTGATCATACATGTTCATTTTCGTGCTCTATTGGCTATAAAGAAGTTGGTTCACATACACGGAGATGTACTGCCTCAAAACTTTGGAGTGGAAAAGAGATGAAGTGCAAAGGTAAATGCATGATTGATATATTTCTTCTATATATTTTGCTACGCGCTTTATAAATTTAGTGTAGCAAAACGGGCGCGGTGTAAGTTACCGTAGAATGATGCATGAAAAAATATAATCACAACCCACTTACCCATAACCAATCTTCCACAATGCTATAAGGCTAAATAATTTTCGCAACTATAATCTTTAAATTTTGCTTCACATTAGTTGAGCTATTTAATTAGGACGTTTTACATAACTTGCCAGCAAGATACTATCGCCCATGTTCCTGACACCAGATATACATATGTGCTACCTAATTAGCATTGCGTTGAAATGTGTGGAATAATAAGGGTTCAATTTAGCTTCTGATAACTGTTTAAAGGAAAAATAATGCATCTCTTAAGTTGGCGCTATGCATAGAAAAGGCGAAATATCTTGTACCTTTCAAAGAAGATGGTACATCTTTTTGTTTGCACAAAAACATTCATTCACATATTCCGCAAGGAATGTTATAAATTCGGTACATAATTTTTACAGAATATTTTAATAAAACAAATATTGCACTTTCTATTTCAGCTATCCACTGCCCGTCACCCAGAGAACCGAAGGACGGATTCATTTATTCTCCGTGCAACACTCGATTTAATTCGGAATGTCGCGGGGGCTGCAACAATGGTTTCTATATTAACGATACTTCTAAACTAGCTTGTACAGTGGAAGGTAAATGGGAGCCCTTACAAATAACATGTGAAGGTAAGTAAGGATATTTTTTCAATTGAACGGAAACCACCTTCTGGAAATCGTTTGTGAATATATACTTCTCCGACGATATAATTGCTAAAATCAAAGCTGTGCATCTTTGGAACTAGTTTTGATTCTGTGATTGTGATTTTCTAGAAATTAAAGTGTGTGAACCCAATCCTTGTAAACATGGAGGAAAATGTACTACCTTAAATCCCCGTCAGTTCTCTTGTAATTGCTCGAAAACAGGATACGAAGGAACAAATTGCGAAATTGGTGTCATAGATGTACCTGATTATCCAACATTAGTCGCAGGTGTACCAGTTGAGTCGCTCGAATTTCGATCTTCACCACCAGACAATTACGTCATCCTCACACCTCAGGGGTTTGGGGTTGAGTTCAATCCTAATTATTTACGTTTCCAGCAAAATTCTAACACGACACAGTCACTAACAATGATAGTTCGATATCCTGGTCTCCACTACGTGCGTTACTATTTATCAGGTCCTAGTGCAGCCGGGTATGAGATTCCGCAGCCGAACGCGTTATTTGTCGAAACTGTCAAGAAAACGGATCCCGAAGTTTTCACAGCATACGATAACATGGAATTTCCATCTGGTTGCTACAAACTAGAAATTGACAAGTGTCCTCGCTCAAATGTAACAATTAGTGCATATTCAACGTCATCTTGGCTTACCTTGCTTGTGGGCTTTCCAGCAACAACAGAGGGTCAAGTAAGTTTGAGTAATGGCAATTTGGAAATACCTTATTCTTTGACGGGTTATAGTTTTATTCCGAAGAATCCTTCGAGTTTGGATAAGGATTGTGCTGCTAATCCCACAGTAGAACACTCCTTGAAAGAACTAGTGCAGCACCGTATTTTAACCAAGTCATTTTTGAAAGTCTTTCGTCGCAGTCTTCCCAAGTGGCTTGATATCAAAATACGTGGAAATCATTCCTCAACATCATTAGTGGAGACCGACCTTCACGCGTTCTACCTAACTGGAAGACGTCTCCGTGAAGAATTCATCGAGGGACAACCGTTGTCTGATGATACTTTCTTCTCCTTGCTACTCTCACCTGACATCGATCTCGTTGTTAATGGCGATCGCGTTTCGTTTGGATTAAATGATCGTAACGCACGTTTCCCTCTAGCCCTAGAGCTTTGTGGTCCACCACCTAACAACATTCTATTGCAACCGTCGCCAAGCAATTTGGATGTGATTAACCAACTTTCAGTAATGAAAAAACTACGTGATTCTGGTTGGAATTTCAAAATTTTCTCTCTACAGATTGGAATGTCCTCTGGCAAAAAAGGCTTGACTATGGTTGCAAAATTGACTAAGAACTTGACCATATCCAGGTTCGTAACATCTCGTGTGGATTTTCAGGGCACAGTTGTAGCTAACGTTGACAACTTGGAAAGGGTAAGTAACAGCTTGTTTTTTTTTAAAAAGGACATAAAAAATGTTCTCGAAAACCCTCTGAGCTATTGAGACATTTCCATGATGCAGCAGCAATTTTCGACTGCATTCGACTGGAATGTAATTTGTTTACACTATCATCTGATAGATTAAAATTTTATTTTAAAGCTATACTGAATCCATTGTGTCTGCTCAATCAGTAACCATGCATGATAAGCTTCAACATTAAACCAGATGTTTCGCTAATGTAAAATAGCATAACAAAAAACCAACCTTCAAACTACGTGTGAGGAGCTAGAACCAGCATATCGCATAATGAACATAGTTTTTGAGCGATATGAAGAGTTCAGGCTTTCATATTCAGTCTTGGAGCTCATGGAGTTAATATATCATACAAAGCATTGTGTGCGAGAAAATGTGTCTATATTATAGTCTCAAAACGCCGATCCCCGAATTCTTTATAATTAAAGTAACCCAAAATGACAGTTTTGTCGACTTGGTGTGAATTGTGAAATGCCACAATCCTAACACGTATTACTATTACCGATAATGTATTTAGCGGCCTTAAGTTCAAAATTTCAAAGAAACAGGATTATATTATGATGCGATTCTTTTATAGATTCTAGAATCCCCATTAGACGAAAAGTGGGTGGTCGAGCTTAATGGCAATATTATATTGACCTTGGAATTGGAAGTACATGGCAAGTTTACAAAGTTATCTCTTAATATGCCGCAAACAAGGAGTAATGCAACATTTGGAGGTAAGGTTTTGTACAATAATGTAGGTACCATTATTCTGTATGTTTTTATTGAGTTAGTGAGTGAGTGAGAGACTTTATTTAAAGAGGGTAACACCTGACAGTATATAAATACTGATAAACTAGTGGCCTCTATTAATTATTCGGTTTCTATATATACCATCTTGGTCTTATCTTTAGCCACATCAAACGAGAAATATTTTGGGGATATTAATTAGCTAGTTATGCAGGATTTTATTTGGTTGTATGTGGGTGACTATAGCTTTACGATTCAGGTGTTTCTAGTAAAGGAGGTAAAAGTTGCAGTATCACAAATTGTAAAATATGAAATATACAGGTTACATAATGTAGTTAATATGATGATAGAGTTTATGTTCGCGTGTGTAAAATGTGTTTTTGTCCCGACTCCGAACTCATGCCCAAGAATATCAACTGTATTACTATTAACTTTAAACGGCAATTTTTGTATAAAAAATTATGCAATATAGCTAAACACTTAGTCATTCTTCGGATTGGTTTAGATCAGTGGGCAAAAATATATTTCAGCCCGGCAAATTTATCATTTCAGCCTGCAAAATACACTGCAATGCCCTGCCAAAGTTAATATAATTTATTTCTTAACATTTGAAGGCAGAACCTAACCCATACTACGCTTTATCGCTAAATTTTACGGTCCACGGGCAGCAAATACGCCCTTTTATCTAATCTGCAAAAAGGTAACTGTTATTTAATTGTCCTTCCAGGGGGTGATGAAGTAAGTTGCTTGCGTGAAACGAAAAATAATCCTAACGGACTATTCCTAACAAGAATTCTGAAAGAAGATCCATTTGTTAACACAGAACTAAAGAGATTTGTTGAACTTGATCAGAATAAAGACATGTCATGTTTCCTGAGCACATTATTGTACACCGAAAAACAAGGTAATGACTCCAGCTATCGTGAGAAAAGTGATGGCGTCTTTTTAAGGTTTTATGGCAATCTAAAGTTTGGCGCTCTTCGATTCGACAATTTGGATACAAACTTGTGGATAAAAAACAAACGCTGCTCAATCAACACAGCGAAAGGTACTCGATCGGATGTTGTCGCTGAATTGAGTGGAAGTTATTGGCATGCAGAGGGAATGCAGAAGAGACTTGGGATGTTTGAAATTGATTCTGATCCAGTTGTTAACCTACACATTGGACAGAAAAGAGCTTCTGCTTCTGGGGGTTCATTTTCGGCCAGAGTGGACGTTCTTGGTTTTAAAAGACGTGTAAATGTGAATATCTCGCAAGATGGGCTACGTTTTCGTACTAGAGGCAAAATACATGGATGGTTCGATGCGTCTGCCGTATTTAAGTCACAGTTGACGGAATGGAAAGACCAACGGTTCACAGCTGCAGGAGTTTTTGAATTAAGGGAAACGGATGATAACGTTGACGTTATTTTAGAGAAAGAACTCAAAATATATAGCACAGAACTTTTAACAAAACTAGAAGCCAGACTTGATCTTTCTTTGCGAACTGAGCAACAAGCGAAATTTCGACTTAATGATGTTCAGAGCCTTCGAGAAGACTCAGTTATGAAGATGGTGGAAATGACGAAGGAGTATAGAAGAGTAAATGAAAGCTTGGATTTGGCTAAAAAGCGTTTAGACGAGCTCCTCCAGCTAACCGAGGACTACTCTGAAGAAATCGAGCGGTTAAAGCAGGAGTTAGACGAGCTATGCGAGTTAAAACAGTGTCCTAAAATATGTCGGAAAGGAGAGAGTTGTGAAATTTGTTGGAAATTTGTATTTGTTAAAAAGATGGGAAAGTGTCCTGCAACGTGTAATTATAGGCAGCTGAGACTGGAATTTGTATCTTTGAGGATCGCAATCTGCCCAAAACAATATTGCAAGTGGGTTTATTCCCCATTTATGTACTTAGGTTATTTAATCGGAGCTATCTTTGGCACGTCTCTAGGACTGCCTCCTTCAGTTTCCTTTATGGCTCATAGAAGTACCGCACGATTTACCCGAACTACCAGGACAGGTTTAACTTTAGGTTCGTACAGTCACACTGTGTTATTTGGGGGCAGAAGACGTGGTTACTGGAAATGTAAAATCGTATATGAACTCTGCTATAAGGAAGTTTACGAGTTCAAGTTCGTTCTTTCGCCTTACGATTGCGAATCGTCTTGTGAAAAACGGCAAGTTAAAAGTAGCGTAAAAAAATCATGCTGCTCCACCGTTTCGTGTGCATCATTTGAGGCCAATCGCACTTGCATAACTGAAAATAAGTTTTGTGAAACGGCAAGAAATAAAGCACTTGAAAAGATTTCGAAGGTCGAAACAAATGTCGCGAAAATTCTAGGAAACTTGGACGATGCAAGAAAAAATCTATCCTACTGGAAAATGAAGAGAGAAATATTGTTTAATAAAGTTCGTTCAGGGTCACGTGTTATGAAAGCATACCAGGACGCCGTGCGTAGCCTCGAGAAAGCTTTCAATGTCACAGTGGAAAATCGAAAAAAGACATTGAGAATTTTGGAAAAGTCAATGATGTTGAGAAATCTCGTCAACAAATTTGGGGAACTGCGTATTAGGATAGAGGAAATCAAATTTTCAGTGAAAGTAATTCCTGGACGCAATACTACCTTGCTTCCACTAAATATTATGGTGACTCTTGATGGAAACCAAGAGAAACAAGTGTCCACTGTGCTGGATTTTACAAACTTCAACCGATCTTTGCGGAGCATTGCGAAGGAGATTCTAGGTGTGTATTTTGGAGATGTGACACGTGTGTCAAGGATGAAACGCTCAACGGATACTGCAAATTCGACAAATGACTCGAAATTCTTCACATTGCAAACTTTTCACCGATTATGTTCAGAGTTTCGAAACCACAAGCAAACCTTGTATCAAGCTGCGATGTCTCTTTATCATTTGTCCTATGAGAATCAGCAACTTCTTGAAGAGGGAAGGCAAAGAGAAAGGGATTTTTTTATAAACGAGACTGCTATTTTTGAAAATTTTAAATTAAACCATACGAAAGCGTCGGAACTAGGCCTCGTAGTAAACTACAATTCCTACTCGAACGTACTTGCAAATGATCCAGAACTATCTGTGGCAAAACATTTTCAACAGGAAGCTCTCAAGAACGAGTTTGATGTTGTCCATCTCAGCTCTACATTGCTCTTTAAGAATTGGCTGGTAACGATGGAAAACATTTTTAAAGAATTATCTGATGAGTGCAGTGGTTTTAATGATTGTCTGAAATATACCGTAGACAGTTTATTGGAACTTGTTACGGACACAAATAGGCCTGAATCGGAAAAACTACAACGAGAAATAAGAAATGTCGAGGAAATGTATAACAACTTGACGCGACAATCGGATGTGAGTGTCAGTGATGCAGTGTCGATCTCATGGAATATTTTGCAGACCTTGAAAAACATGACTGGTGAAGAAGACGTTTGCGCACGATCGCCAAATATAACAAAACATCCAACGCCATTTATCCAGCTAAGTATAAATAAGACACTTGTTTTAACGTGCAATGCTACTGGAGATTCTCTCGTTTACCAATGGCAGCGTAACGGTGAAAATTTAAAACATCAAACTGCAAATATATTGCGAATAAAGAATGTGAGCCCATTAAATTCTGGGAATTATTCTTGTGATGTTTCGAATCACGTAGCGAAGGCATCTTCAATCCCCACGGTGGTTGTTATTGGTGCTCCGCCGTTGATTGTTCGTTATCCTGTCCGTCGTCTCAATGTTATTCTATCCGGATATGGCACACTCATTTGTGAGGCGAAAATGGATTCCCGCAACATCTCTTATCAATGGTGGTTTAATCAGTCGAAGTCCGGTTCTTTCGTGCCATTACCAAATGAAACATTTTCTCATTTAAGTTTTGCTCCAGTAAAATCCTTCCATGAAGGATAGTACTTTTGCAACGTCTCGAATCCATTCGGCAACGCCATTACGCAAAAGAGTTTTGTCAAAGTGTTGAAGTACAGTCTTCCAGTACCAATTGCTAAGCTCTCATTGACAGTCATATCTGAATCTTCTAACAATTTTTCAATTTTATATAATGATGCACTGGCTAAGGCACTCGCTTCTCGTTTGGCAACCTCTAATAAAACTCTGCTGCCTGAAAAAATTATTAAAGACCTAATTCCAACAAGTTGTAGACAAATTTCGCGCCGTGAAGACGAATTTGGTCGCACAGATACGTGTGATTGGACATTTAGCATAATTGGTGATAACGTTACCTCAAGCGCAGAACACATAGCACCACCACAACAGATTAAAAAAATCGTCAGCTCAACTTCCAGGCTTAAAAGACAGATCGGTAAACTAGGAAATTATACCAATGCTGGCGATATTTCATTCTCTTTGGATAATTCCAGTTTTTTTTCGCCAAAAAATTCTCTGGGGATAATAGGGATGTCTTTGTTTTGTCCTAAGGGCCAGTTCCTCGTTGAAAATGATTACAAATGCGGTAAGTTAACATCTTTATAGTTTATACATACAATTCAAAACAGCTTTTCCAAAAGTCTGGCATCAGTAGAGCATAAGATTGAATGTCCTATAATTTAATCTTGGAACCCATTTTTTGCAGCCGACTGTCCACCTGGATCTTATGGGACAAGGATAAATGGCGTTGCAACATGTAGTAATTGTCCTCGTGGATTGTATCAATCAATTCCGGGTCAAATATCTTGCAACAAGTGCCCTGAAGGATTTGTAACTGCTGACCATGGTGCCATGGATCAAAGCCAGTGTGAAGGTGAACAAGTAAATCATGATAGCAGATATCGTAATTGTACTTAGTTGTGGTAATTGGAATTACAGCTTTAACATATATTTCATCCTTAGCCATCTTTACTTCGCTTGGAAATAGCATTAAAATAAATATAATGTGGTCTCGATTTCATGGAAGCCATAATTGAAATCCTTTATCTTTAACTTTTTCTGTTAGAGTGATGCTACTTCCACAAAAATCATTAATTTGTCAACTAACCGCTGATTAAGAATTAAGAAAGTAATGCATACCCAGAATCTTTTTTATAAACGACCTATCACTTTCTTTTTCTCTCATTCTAGACGAAAATAAATTCTTCCTGTTGTTTTTGCTCGTAAATATTTATCCTGGCGATGTCTCTGTCACTGCAAATGTTTCTGGCAAGCTGGAGAAATTTGATCTGAAACCAGCAAGAAGAGCGCTCATGACTAAGAAGTGGAAGACAAAAAAGACGTTGATCTTGAGTGCAGTCGATGATAATACAAACCGAACGGTCAAGATCAATGGACAGTCTGTAATTCGTCTTCAACCAACGCCAAAGAACCGTGTCCGTTCTCTGATAGTGCTTATTATCAAAGGTGAACGTGACGTACTGATATATATGTCCTAAAAATCTCGAATAAACGACAAAAACCATACATTTACTGTTGGCATATTCACTGTTGGCACTTTATAGAACTACTCCAAACTTGCAGTGGTGGATCCAGTGCAAAGGCTGAATAAATTACTACATCTCGAACTTGCAATGACATTGGTGGATTTTTTTTTAAAACTATTCTGCAGAAATTTAAAACCAATAGCGTTGCTAACAAAGTATTTTGAATTGAAAGGCCCAGCCTACACCTTGATCCGCCACTTAAAACTTGGAAACCAGGCAACATAACCCAAATATCGTGAATGCCACAGGCTGCTACAGCCAATCAGATTCCGAGATTACGCCTGTTGCTGATTTTTGAAAAAAATTGGAATGACTTAATTGAAAAAAACATAATTTAATTGACGTCCCTCGTCCTCATATTAATATATGCTATCGCGGCCAGTATCGTTACTATAGTATAACAAATTTCAAAAGGAATTAAAAGCAAGACTTAATTAAAGCATGTTTATACATGATCTCTTGTTTTGTCTTTCTTTTACAGGATGATTGAACAGATGAAAGGAATTTGCAGAAAAGTGTATTTTGGGGGATAATAATCATTTATTTCATTAAAATTTTAGTTGACATAGTTATACTGAATATATTAATGTGAAGTTAGTTGAAGTTAGTAGATTGAAAATAATCCCGGGTGGTGCAAATAATGCAGAATGATTACAAGTCTCTTTGTAGAATTAAATTTTCGCTTTCATATAACAACAAACTGTATGCATTTAGAAAAATTTCCAGTAAAATTCATATATATTCACCAGCCTCGCGGTATTTCTAAAAATATTATGAAACTTTCACAACCATATTCTTAAACCGGTTTTCCACTAGCGATATTTTTCGCGCGAATCGACATGACAGGGAGACTCAAGACAGGGCCAGAACTCGCAGAAACAATCAGTTGTTATTGCAGGAGACTCAATTGTTAAAAATATTATCGGTCCGAAGATGAATGCTGAAGATCCTAATCATTATTTTATTGTAAAGCCGTTCCCTGGAGCAACAGTCACAGACATGGAGGACTTTGTCAAGCCACTTACAAAAAGAACACCGGACAAGATGATTTTACATGTTGGAACAAACGACCTGAGAAGTCATTGCACGCCAAAAGTAATAGCTGACTCTATCGTCAACATTGTAACGCAAGTAAAAGAAGATTCACCAGGTACAGATGTTGGAATATCAGCCATTCTGGTAAGGTCTGATAATCATGACTTAACTGTTAAAGCTACTCAGGTTAATAACATTCTTAAAGGCTATTGTATTCGCAATAAAATTCCCTTCTTAAGTAATTCAAATATGAATGAAAGCCACCTAAACACGAAGGGCCTTCATTTAAATAGACAAGGTAGCTTAGCTTTACAACAAAACTTTTTAGATTTTGCTAAATCTATCTCAGATTGACAATTTCCCAAATCCGTTATTCCTACCTCACGCGGGTTTAAGTTAGCAGCCCTTAATGTGAGAAGCATAGTAAATCACATTGATGAGCTGCGAGTTTTGCTTGCTACTAGCCCAATCGATGTTCTAGCAATTAACGAGACATGGCTTAATTCTACAATAAGCGATAACGATGTTTACATACCTGGATATGAAATTATACGTCGGGACAGAGCATGTAGTAGTGCCGATGGAAAAACGTATGGAGGTGTTTGCTTTTATGTGCGCTCCTGCGTAAATTTTATACTTCGCAAAGACCTGTTTATCGATGACTTGGAAAATTTATGTATTCAAATTCAAAAACCAAATTCTAAGCCCTTTCTCGTTACAACATGGTATAGACCACCTAATTCGAATACTGATAAATTTAATCATTTCGAAACGTTTATTGATATGCTTGACGCAGAAAATGTCGAGTATTACCTATTGGGCGACCTAAATTGTGACCTTGGATCGCCTACTTTAGATTGCAATTCGAGATCTTTAATTGGCATCACTGAACTCTATGGTTTACATCAATTAATAAATGAACCAACTCGAATTACCGAAACTTCATCAACTATGATCGATCATATTTTTACCAATACACCAGATAATATTGTTTCCTCTGGTGTTTCTCATGTCGGTATCAGTGATCATAGCTTAATTTACGCATTCCTTAAGCTTTCTATCAGTCCACGCAACAAAGGCCATTCTACAATAAGTTATATAAAACTTAAAAATTTCAATTCTGAATATTTTCGACGAGATATTTCTTTACAGAAATGGGACGTAATAAGGATTTATAATAATCCGAATGATATGTGGCGTATATGGAAAACGACCTTTAACAACGTAGTGGAAAAGCATGCCCCTTTACGAACTAGGCGAGTAAGATCTTCTAAGGCGCCGTGGATCACGCCTGAATTAAAAAGGCAAATGGATGAAAGAGATGTTTTGAAAATAAAAGCTATTCGATCCAAAGATATTTGTGATTGGACTGTTTTTAAGAAAGCTCGAAATTCTGTAAACAATGAAATTAAACTTGTTAAGAAAACCTATTATATGAACGCTTTTCATGAAAACGAGAATAATGTTAAAAAAACTTGGGGTATCATCAATGAATTGACCTCAAGAAAACAGATGAGTTCACGAGTAAATGAAATCAAAATAAACGGGGTTTCTATTACTGACCCCTCGGACCTATCTGAGACGTTTAATACTCATTTTGCTACTATTGGACCTAAGCTTAAGGAAAAAATACCTGACGAAGAAAACAATCGCTCGTATTTAGAATATCTTACTTGTCACAATAGTAACAATAATATAGAGTTTAAGTCAATAACCCCATCATCAGTTTATTCGCTTCTTAACAAACTTTGTAAGTCCAAAGCAATTGGGCTAGACAAAATATCTGCCAAGCTTCTTCGTCATTGTCCTGACTTGCTTTCGGAATCCCTTGCCGTAATTTTTAACTGCTCTATCATTACCGGTATCTTTCCTGAAGAATGGAAATGCTCAAAAGTCATTCCATTATTCAAACAGGGCGAGCGTAGAGACTTAAATAATTATCGCCCAATTTCGATAATACCGGTTGTGGCGAAAGTTTTCGAACGAATTATTTATGATCAAATTTACGGTTTTCTTACTGAGAACAATTTACTATGTAATAGCCAGTCTGGATTTCGACGTTTGCATTCAACTGTTACTGCACTTCTAGAATCTACTAATAGCTGGGCCTACAATATTGACCAAGGACTGGTCAATGCTGTCGTTTTCCTAGATCTTAAGAAAGCCTTTGATACAGTTGACCATAGAATTTTGTTGTCAAAACTGTCAGCATATGGTCTTGGGGGTGCTGTGGCTAACTGGTTTAGGTCTTATTTAAGTAACCGCAGTCAAAAATGTTATGTCAATGGCCATCTTTCTACCAACCGTACGTTACTTTGTGGTATTCCACAGGGAACTATTTTGGGACCATTGCTATTTTTATTGTATATAAATGACTTGCCAAATTGTCTTGAGCACTCCCAAGCACGAATGTATGCAGACGACACCAATTTAACATTTGCAAGCAATAAAATTGAAGATATAGATTATTACTTAATCAAGATCTTGAAAATGTTAATAAATGGCTTATCGCCAATAGGCTTACATTGAATCAATCCAAAACTGAATTTATGCTAATTGGCTCACGACAAAGAATAGCTACTTTCCAATCAGACCCATGTTTTAAAATAGACGGAATTCCTATAGACAAGGTTTCACATACAAAATCTCTAGGAGTTCACCTTGATGAAAATCTATCTTGGAATATACAGATCAAGGAATTAACAAAAAAAATTGCTTCTGGTATTGGCGCTTTAAAACTCGTTCGTTCATTTGTCCCAGTTGCAACATTGTATTTAATTTTTAATTCCCTTGTCCAGCCATATTTCAATTATTGCTGTACAGTTTGGGACAATTGCAATAAAACCTTGGCAGATAAACTTCAAAAACTACAAAATCGCGCAGCGAGAGTTTTGACCTTTTCAAGCTATGACACTAATGCCGACATCTTACTCGATAGACTTGGCTGGAAAAAGTTATCTTCCCAACGCCAGTTTCAAAAGGCTGTCATGGTTTATAAATCACTCAATGGACTTGCTCCACAATACATGGGTTCCATGTTTGTAAACCGTGACAGTGTCAATCCTTATTCGTTGAGAAACACAAATAGTAAGCTGGCTGTTCCTAAGCCTCGCACAAACTATCTCAAGAATAGTTTTAGTTATAGTGGTGCGATGCTATGGAACAGCCTACCGATTGGGCTACGGCTAGCAAATAACCTATCAAATTTTAAAGCGGGCTGTTCCAAATTATTTTAATCTACATTCACATTTGTATTATATTATATTTCTTGTATATATTCCTTACACGGCTCTCATGAAAAGCAGGTATATTAATTATTAGTTTGATTTATCATTGTAAATATTTTTGTAGTCTTATTTTGTAATTCATAATCTTGTCATTTGTCAGCATGAAAATCCTGATTGAGAATACCGTGTGTAAATAAAGTTTAATAATAATAATAATTAATAATAATAATTATCGCTAGTGGAAAACCGGCTCTAGGGCATGTTTACCACTTTACCTCAGCTGGGCTAGGCGTGATTCAACGAAGGATGAGATGATTTTCGAGTATGAATCAGGTGATCTGAAAGGCCTACGACTGGACAGCAGGAAGGGACTAGGACTTGTTGTCAAACATTAAAATATCGCAGATTGATCATGTTAAGGATCTGCATAAGATTGTTAAAACCAATTAACCAAACTAAAAACGCTGCGTAAAAAGTTGGCTTGTACTGATACGCTTTGCTTGAAGACAGGATGATCACAAGAGGTGTACTCCAGTTGTGCGGTCTTTGTAGAAAAAAAACTGTATATAGTGTGAGGCTCTACTTACTTGTATATAGTGTATTAAGAGAAAACCCAAAGCGACACAAAAGAGACAGCTCTCTCCCATGTAGCATTGAAAGCTCAACAAGGAGGGAACAATAGTCTGGAGACTATTTATTTTCTGCGAACATCTGCGAAAATCTTTTTCTGCCGTTTTAATGACTGAAATATTTTTCTGCTAACTTTATCAATAGACGTACGCTTTCAGTTTTTTTTATAGTATATATCTTAGTAGCGTTGCTACTAACAACACTGACCCTGAGTTGGGCAAATGAAAATCAGTCATACCGGGGAAGGCGATATACTTACATATCAAATAAAAACTGTTAAAATTGAGATTGTAAATCGCACGAGTTTCATTTGCTGTTAATTTCCTACGTCGAAGCGTCGTCGAGAGTTTTCTGATCTATTGTAGGCAAATGAAGCATCGACTGTGGTTTGCCTATGTTTCCTTTCGTCCAATGACGTCAGCCTGCATGAGTCTGAGTGGGAGTGTCCGACATTAATTTAGTCAATAGTTACTGTGAACAGTTACACTAATACATGTATGGAATCTTAATACATAAGAACTTTGCGGAAAGCAACGGAATGCTGTGCATGAAAGAGCGAAAACAAATTTTCATATCAATATATACAATAACCTTTCATGATATTCGAAGCGTGCATTCCGACACCGTTCAATCCAGAGAAAGAGGTAGTTTTTTTATTTCACCGATTTTTTTATAAAAACTCATTCTACAAAACACGCGCGCAAATTAATACTGATTTATAAATAGATTTGATTTTAAAGACATGGAATCAAGCGTGGGTCTTGTATAGAGAGCTAATAATGCCTACTACAAACAACCTTTACTCCACGCCTATGATCTGATTCACAATAAGTATGAAAAGTATGAAAGGTTTACGTAACCGTTGAGATCACTAGAGTATAAAAAAAGAAAAAGAAAAAAAAAGTTGTACGGTATCAATATTGATTTTTTTTTATACAAAACTAGAATCACTTATTCAGCTGGTTATGTAAATCACATCTTTCCGTTCGCTGGAAGTCTAGCGAGGATCAGGGAGGATACATACGCTCACGTTTACCCAGATCTGATCGAGCGTCCAGAAGAATCTGGTCCATTAGGGATAATTGAAGCATCAACTGTGGTTTGCCTACGTTTCCTTTCTTCCAATGACGTCTGTCATCATAAGTCTCAGTGCGGAACTCATAACCCAGTTTACACCATACCGCGGATTCGTATGGTCACGACATCAAATTTAACCATTTCAAGGTGACTTTAACCCTAGAATCATGACAGCATTATTGCTTCAACATGATCTGCGAAATAAAATAGTTGTGTGGACATAGATACGTGGTAAAAAAATAGGTCCGCTACGCGTACATGTATCTGCACAGTATTTGTTTCACTCTTTTGCAGTACCGTACTAGGTGACACTCCTAGCCATTTTGTACATAATCAGAATTAAACTTGATCAAAGTGTATTTGAAATTTTTTTTCTTCGCAAAGTGGTCATTAAATTGCTTAAATTTTGCATAGTGCAATTAATGGCAGGGAGAGCAGCCATATACCGTACTGAACAACCAAAGCAAAAGTCCTGTATGGCTGTTTCTACACTAAACTCAATTTATTAGCCAGGCATTTCTATAATCTATGCTCAGCCTTTCTACTGCTAGCTTGAACATATAGATAAAATTGGACATAGGAACGAATTTTTGTTATGCTGTACCAATAAAGTTTGTGTAGTGTAAACAGCGCTAAAATATTGTAAAACGACCCTTTTTGTGTGGCTTCGTTTAGGCTCTTCTAACGTCCGGGACCGTCGGGTCGTTTGGGGAGACAGCTCTTTACAAATACTCACAGAACACACACATATATTTATAACTCTTTATTCGTGCTTCGGTGCTTGAGATGTGCTCTTCCCGTGCTCCTGTATCAACTAACTGTTTTCTGCTTAATCATACTGTGCTATATCGCTACATGATATCCCTTTTCAATAACCCATTGTGCATTGTTCATTGTGCATATTACGTTTATCATGTTTCCTATATTACAATATAACGTTAGTATAATTAAAAGGGACAATACTATGTATGCTATAGTATTAACATTATAGGTCTTCAATTATAACACCTATCATACAACTAATAGCCTGTGAACATAAATGAGTTATAAAATAATGGTGCAGCACGTGGGCAAAGTCAAATTTATAGATAAATAGAAATTACAGAATTACGAATGCAGCATGCTTACCATTCACCAATGTCAACTGTTCCATCGAAGCGGTTATTGAGCCTCTCCCCTTGTTCTCTCAATTCCTGCATTTCCTCTTCGTATCTGGCAGTCCATTTATCGTCAGCAACTGGATCATCGGCGCATACTGAAAATTTTCTTCTTCGCTGGAAGTAGAAAGTGCCGAATATTTTGTGTCTTCATCAAATTCGTCGTCGGACTCGTCGCCAGATGCAACTTCGACATTCCGCTCATATTCTGAGGAAAACATCCTTTCTGAGTAATCCGAAGGGTGGCTAGTATCCGAACCGCTTAATTTTGAAGACATATTTCGCTTGCTAAGAAAATATACTTAAAACATCCGACAAAAAAGCTAAACTGTGAGGCAAAACCGAAATATGTAATATAACATTTATAGAGCTGTCAATGTTGTTTTCCGGAATACGTCACAACTTACACTATCCCCAGACCTCTTTTTGCGCATCCGGTGACAAAATTTCTGTCACTTTATAAACGGACCATTGCGACCAAAATATTTATCCAAATCAAAAAATTACTTTTGTAGTATACTCCATAAATGGTAAAGATTACGTTTATGTAAGAAAATTTAAGGTCAGGTGCACTTTAATGCCTTTCTTATGCTGGCCTTGCCATGTGGATCAAGAATATTTAACATTTAGTTAGTGCCTGACAAAGTTTCTTTATATTTCTTGTGCTCTTTAAACTTTAAGATAAACCCATTTATAATCTTATAAAAATCAATCACACGAGTGGTTTTATTATTGCAAGAAGAACTGATACAACTTGACGCGACTTGAGGCAAGCCATATTGTCCGTTACGTCACGATTTTCAACAAGGTTACAATGCTGACGCCATGCAGTTTCCTATCCAGTCAGTGATCCAGTCTTTTAACCAAATAGTAAATATGTATATATTTACTCTTTGTTTTAACTATCCATGTTTCAACCAAGAAAGGTTAATCTCTCCTCTCAGTCCTCTGTGGTTTGGCTGAATTGCATGTTGAATGTGCTAGTTCTGTTGGCTTGTCTGAAACCCAAGTAAAAGTAAGTTTGTATAAATGATACAGATATAAAAATGAAACAACGCTGTGTATACTGTAAACATGTCAAGATATAAATATCTTTTGCACACCTTCTAATATTTGTTTTGCGTACAAATCATATAAACATAATTTTGTAATCATATAAACCACAGGGCAGAGGTTAGCTGACAGTAGCAGTTGGTCATTCAGCAATTTATACGTCAAGGCAGGCAAATAAGGATTTGTATCAAAACCTTTTAATAGTTGAGAGGGTATTTATATTTGATGCATTTTATCAAATATATTTATATGAAGATTTTATGTTAATAGTGTAAGACTAATCACCCTCTAATAGAAACATTTTGTTTCAAACTTTGCCTTGAACAGGAACTCTATCGTTACATATACCTGTATTTTAAAAGCTGACTCATAGTCATACTCACAGTTACTGAGTAAGAGATCACAATCACCTCATAACCATTCTATGGAATCTATGATGGTATTTTCGCTCCAGTAAATGTTAATTTTGAATATTTCACCCAAATTAAATCTTGCTATTGACTAAGGAAGGACTCATTGATCAGCATAAACATGATCACTGTGTCACACTTGGTGAGAGTTCATCAGTGTGAGTGTGAGAATGCAGGCAATACATAGTGTTGGTTTTTGATTCATTGTGCAATTTCCAAAGTTTACAACACAGTTTTGTGCACCCAACAAAATTCTGGGAAGAATAGTAATGAATTAAATTGTTAACATTGTTCCAAGACATCAACCCATTGAGTAGCATTGTGCCCTGATGCTCCCTAGGTACTTTAATAGGTATTTTACTTTGTCTAATGCCAGACAATTTTATTCATCAGGGGGTGACTGGAAATTTCATTTGCCATTTGTACAAAAGTTGAAATATTCATATGTATAGCCTTACACTTTAACATTTCTAACACCAAAACTAACTCCAACCCACACTGTAAACCCAACCTTAACATCCGTTGGACATCAAAATATTGAAACATTGTGAGAAAAAGATTGAAAAATATATGAAGAAACTAACCCATAATCCAGAGAACTTAGTGCACAAGAGCCAGGAAGAATTTAAATGTTAATTAAGTTGAGTGCTGAAAGTTTAACCAACAATTAATTGTTATTGACCTTCATTAAATTTTAGAATGTGTTATATTAAAGGCAATGAACCTTGAACAACACTCTAAGTCAGGGGCATAGGATTTAAGAGGAGGGCCAGCAACCAGCTCGATCCCACTGCTGCAATAATATATGCAGGCAGCAGAATATCTTTCAGCCCCCCCCCGAGCAAAATAATGATGTGAGATTGCTACATTTTTTTAAAATTGCATGCACGGTTTCCTGTCTGTACTGAATAGGATAATTAAGACTCTGAAATGGCCATGCATTTTTGAGGATCTTTTAACAAATTTATTGACATACATAATTAAAATAATAACTTCTAACTGGTCATGTGTGTATATATACCTGTTAACTGACACTATACTCTTTCACTGGCAAGTAAAATGTCTATATAGTGGTGTACAGAGTAAAATACTAAATCGGGGAAGCCTGGGTTCATATTGCTGGTTAATGGTTAACAATTACGACTGAGTTCCACTGGTCAGTGAAACTTTCAAAGAAGGTACTTCTTGAATGCTTTGCCACAACTATAAATATTAATAAATCTATTAAGGTATTGTGTAAGTGATAATGTATGTATGGTACTGTATTTAATTTACTTATACATTCCAATAAACTGTCTATGATTATAAACTGTATTTTATTACAAATAGACACTTATATACGAATTTGCTGCCTAACTGGCAATGAAGACTGCTTATTTAACTTTGGACTGCATTGTCCGGCTTGATTTCAAACTATTTTTTCTACGCAATCAAGCTATTTTTGGAAGTGTTTATTGTATTTGTTGTACAGTACCTTAATCTAATACCCACAACCTGACATTTTTGTGCTTGATTTTTCATGGGATAATCACTTTAGTTTACCTTATTTTTTAGAACTGGATAAGTAATTAAAGCTAGCAAACGATCATCTGGTGAACATAGGCAAAATGCTAGTAAATCAGTTCTAATTCCGAAGTGGAGTGGCTATAATGTTTTTGCCAAGGAACAACTTGCTGAAGGTAAATAAATCTGAAATATCACTGTGATATATACTGTTAATACCTGTACAAAACATTAACGGATAAGAAAAGAGAGGATAACATATGAACTTCAATCTTTATGATTATATTGATGATATATATTAACCCCCAGTACATCCCGTAATTGGGTTTCACATGCATGTTACTCAATTTGGCAAATCGGGTTTTATATATAGATTCTTTGCCGAGTAAACTTTTGGTTGATAGGATAACTACATAAAAAATATAACGATCGATCGCGTTGCACTGCATCGTAATACTTTACTAATAATTCCCGTTATATTTTTCAGATATTTATCCTTAAGTTGGTTAGAAAAAACCCCGCCAGTTTATCTTGTTAATACATTAAGCGGTCATGACGTCAAATGCATGCACTGGGACAGCAGAGGGTCGTTAGAGGGGGGCTAATATTCATTCTTTCATATTAATAGACAGTAATAACAATCAATTTCAAAAGAAACTAGTAATGCTAAACGTGAATGTATTAATATTACCCCCCCCCAAAAAAAACTTAACGACGTTCTGCGTCCCTGATGCATTCTATTTTGACCACTTACTTTTTCTTTTGATCTGTACAGTATTTGCTGAAAATTGGCCATCCGTTTTTGCAAGATCCAGCTGATACAGGCATAATTATGAGGCCATTATAAATCCTTTTCGGTATCATTACACCATGACATCATTCACTGTAGTCTGTATATGCTACTGTATATAACATTTTGTACTATTTGAATGTAGGAGACTCCAAGAGCAAGAAACAAAAGTTCTCTGAAATATCTCTTATGCGCACAGTAGCTGCGACTGCAGCATCTCGCTTGCGTCAGGGTGTAAACTCTTGTGCATCCGGATCCAGTCTAGTTGTGGTCTTTTCATCACATTCTAACTCTAATGGAAATAGGTGCTGTATCGCTCGTTCAAGGTAATTATGACCACCTGCGATTTTAAGTTTAGCTGCCCGTATCACACCGTCTCTGCCTTTAATAAGTTTTGTAACTTTGGCAAGCTTCCAGGTATTTCTTGACTTTTGATCTGCTTTTACGATCACAATTTCTCCGACTTTCTGATGTTGCATTTCTTTTGGTCGGGTAATTCGATGTCGCTCGCGAAGACCACGTACGTATTCCCTACTCCACCGGTTCCACATTGCTTGTTTGCATTTTAGCAAATATTTGGCTCGCTTTCTCAGATCTTTCACTTCGATGTGGTGTTTTTCCAATTCGGGGATGTAGGTAGGTTGAGTCTGAAGCATAGAATTTGGGGTGAGCACTGGTAATTGCACATCGTCCTATAAATAACACAAGGGACGATTGTTCATCGCTATCTCGATGTCTAGAACCACGTCTTCAAGCTCTGACCACGTTAAAACACCATTGCCTATGCATTTGTAGAATGAAGACTTGAATAACCCGATCAAACGGTCAAACTGTCCTCCCCACCATGGGGCCCGACTTACGTTGAAGCGCCAATCGAACGACGTGTTGGCTAAGAGACTATTTAGCTTCTCATCTCGTCTAACTTGTTGAATCCACTTTGCGGCGGCCTTAAAGGTCTTTGCATTATCTGAATAGATCAACTTGGGTCTTCCTCTCCTCGCGATTAATTTTTTAAGGCTGATAATAAACTCCTTTGTATCTAACGATTGCACGACATCAAGGTGTACGGCTCTTGTTAAGCTGCAAGCAAAAAGCCCAAGATATGATTTACCTCCTTCTTCGGTTTAGTTACATACTTGATAGGTCCAGCAAAGTCCACGCCTATCACTTCGAATGGTACTGCGCCTTGTGTTCTGGTGGTTGGTAAATTTCCAGGCGGCGGTACTTCATAGGCTTTGGCTCGAAATCTCTTACAACCATTGCACAATGATCTGATCTTCTTAACTAAACGGCGGAGCCGAGGAAGCCGGTAACACTCACGCACTTTGGCCATTGTCACACTAACTCCCCCGTGCAGAGTCGCTAGGTGCGCTTCACGAAGTAATGATGATGCGAAAGGATGGAAGTCTGGTATATAGATGGGATACTCTCCGATAATCCGGCCTCTGCACTCCAAAATCCCGATGTCATTCTCTTGTAGGTTTAATCGCTCTTCGTCGGCTAGGAATTGTTGATCGCTCTTAACTTCGCTTTAGGCATGCCGTATCCACCATTAACGTTGTTGTCGAACCTCACGACTGTTGATGGGACCGATTTCTCTTTCTGCTGGTAGTCGTGTGCAGTTCTGAAGAAATTGTTGAACCCACGCCCCAATTCGTAGAACCTTCGGTAGGGGATACTTATCAATCAATGCATCCAGGGTCTCTTCTTCAATGTACGCGGCTTTGAAGATCGCTTTGATTACCTTACCTTCTGATTGGCTATCTGGGGTTGATTCTAGAACACACTGCCATGGTGGACCCTCTTGCCATAAATCGTTACAAACGATCTTTCCTCCCCGACTTCCAATGTCAGCCGGGTTTTCGGCTGTCGGGACGTGATGCGATCTGACGCCATGGTGTTGACGTATTTTTTGTACTCTGTTAGCTACAAATTGTCGGTATTCACCTCGATCGTTGATCCAATACAGGGCTACAGTTAAATCGAGCCAACAATGAACAGTCGCTGGAAGAGTGTTTAGAGCTTTCTGAACGTTTGTGGCAAGGTTAACTGTCATGTGTCCCGATATGAGTGGAATAGTTAAGTTCCGTTTCGCGATTCCTGATTTTGAACATACCAGCCCTTAGGCACAGAATACCTATCAGAAGAATAACTCTATACTATTTTTTCGTAAGTGTGATTCGTCATGATTCGTCACTTAGCAAGTGCATTAAATTGAGGTAGTCACCCCCCTGCCAAAATTTAGCAATATAGCCCGCGCCATATTGCTAAACTTTGGCAGGGGGGTGACTGCCTCAAAAAAATGCACTTGCTAAGTGACGAATCATGACGAATCACACTTACGAAAAAAGTACAGGAGTTCTACTTCTGATAGGTATTCTGTGCCTTAGGTAACTTGATCCTCTTGTTTGACTACGGCATAGACAACGGCACAAACTCCATTTGAACTCGCATCTCCAAGGACCGAGGTATTGTGTAAGACTCGAGTGCTTTGTTCCACTCCTTCCATTCTCTTTTTAGTGGCGCCGATAAGTTTACATCCCACGGAATTTTACTGTCACACGCGCTTCGATAGATAAGTTTTCCGGTGAGTGTGGTTGGTGAAGCTAGGCCTAGAGGATCGTAAATTCGTGCTAACTTTGACAGGGTACTTCTCTTGGTTACTGGACCAGTGTCTGGGTTGCGGGTGACACTACCTTACTTGTATTAAAATTCGCGCGGTACTCATTTTCGCTCAGCTTTAAATTCGCGCGATTTAATTTCGCGCACCTTGATGAGACTTATTCGCGCAGCTTTAAATTCGCGCAAGTAATTTTCCGTCTTCGTTCTTTTTGCTTTGTTTAATAGAACTATATTAACAATTAACGCATTTATAATGAGCACTTTTCATCAACAAATATCTCAATAAATGTCAGAACTTAATCAAAAAGCGATTACGTTTGATTAGGTGGCTTCAGAATTATATAATGCAAGCAAAATGTATGATAACAATAAAGCATGAGTCAAAATACCAATAAGAACTAAAAAAATAATGTATTTGTATTACAATGGTTCCCACGGCCAAATACAATAACAAAACCAACAATCTTTATTAGTATTCCTGTATATTATATAGGTTCATAAATGGTATTGCTTAACATTATAGTTTAAACCAAGTCAAACAAACTTTTAGCTAGAGTTCAAATGGATCCTCTTTTCGTTGTGGCTCATCCAATGCGGCACTCACACCTGATCGTTGCCAACCTTTGACGACAATGTCCTTGTTCGATTGCATGTAGTCATAGAACTGCACTACCCATTTTGCGTGAAGTGGTTTGAGCACGCTAATTCTCAAATCAACCGACACTTTATCAGGTAGGATATCTCTCTCTATTTGGGCTTGGACTTGCTCTGAGTACCATGTTTGCGCTTGGTTTCGAAGGAATGCTTTGCAAGAGCGATTGACCGTTAAATCTAAGGGCTGCAGGTATGATGTCATATTATTGGGAACAGGTATCATCTTGCCGTTGTTGTCGGAAATGATCTTCCTCACGGCATCCGTCCAATGTGCTTTAAAAACATCCGCTACCAAAACCCATTGTTTTGTTGCGCGAAAACCAAGCTCTTCTCTAACTTGCTTAACATAGGGGATGAGAATACGATTGACCAATTCAATTGCTTTCGTTTCGTTAGACCAATGATTTTCCGTGTGTGTAACGTGGAATTCTTTTGGAAACTTGAATTTAGGGTGACACCGATCTGTTTTCCCCTGGTAGATTAGTTGAATGGGCAGAAACCTTCCCGACGCGGTGACTGAGAATGTGCCAGTAATTTGGCGATAATCGGCGCTATCACTGATCGGCACAAACTTCTCGTTGGTTTTGTCCATTGTATACTTGCTGATGAGCACAAACGGGAGAGGGGTCTGGTCAATGTTTATGATGAGATCGTCCGGGATGTCATAAGCACTAACCACCTCCTTGACAGAACGACAAAATGTGAAGCGAATTTCTTTCAAGAAGCCAGGAGATACGGGTTGTTTTGCAGTTGTTGCTCGGCGTTTACTGAAACCCAATCTTCTGAAAACTGACTGGCACCATGTATTGTGGAATTCCAGGATTCCTCCGTTTTCTTTTAACAAAGACCGATCATTAGCCATTACTATCCCCTTCGCTATGGAAATAGCAATGTTGTAATTGACAACACAACCGGCCGCTCTCATGCTTTTGATCATACCGATAACTTTCTCATCAATGTTTATGGGTAACAAAGTTTTTGCTCCACGATGCTTCCTTGGCAATTGGTCGAGTTCGGTGCTTTCTTTTCGATCTTTGTAAGATTTCACAAGTCCACGAACAGTAGACTCTGGTACAGAATACTTTCTTGCTGCCGGCCTTATTCCGTGCGCAATTCCCCATTTTTCAATTTCTGCTCGTTGAAAAGCATCATATGCCCCATATTTGACCCTCTTTTTCTTTGGTTCTGGAGCGTCAACAGATATTTGCTCTCTTACTGCAGTTTCTTCGGCAGCATTTAGTTTGCAGTTCGATGATGCAACAGAAATATCGTCCTGGGAAACTTTTTTGAAATATCGTAACAGAGCCATGTGCGTTGATTTCCTGCACAAGCTATTCTCTGTTAGCAATACTTGAACGGAAATGTTTGACGTTTTAGCCAATTAGTTACTAATAAGGAAGTAAAATCAGTCAGTAAAATAATAATAGAACATCAAATGACATGTAACACCTAAAGCAAACGCGACTGCTCATCGACTGTTCTGTTGTGTTGGAAAAATGGGGAACAAGTGAGCCCGAATAGGGCGCGAGTAAACCGGTTAACTTGTATTGTATTGTTAGTGTCTTTCCAGTGGAATCGCAATGAATCTCGATCTTCGGCTTTTATTCTGATCTGTAGGAAAGCTTGTTTCAAATCATCTGTTAGTAGAATAGGATAAAATCTGGATCTGACAAGGACATCCTATAACAGTTTCTGGAGGGAGGGCCCTGGGTGGAGACAATCATTAGTGGTTTCAACTTTGTGGTTTCAGCTTGTTTCCTTTCTACGCCGTTGTGGGGAATATAAAATTCTTTTACAGGTTTGGTGGTGGGTGCCAGCTCGATAACCCCCTCATTCAGCTGTTGCTGCATAATCTCATTATACTTGTTGTACTGTCCGTTTTGTTCTAATCTCTTACATAACTGCTCTAGGCGACGCTTGCTGCCATTCTCGTAAGTTGGAAGTGGGGGATGATTCCCTTTCCATGTTAAACATTTCTCATACCAGCCCGCTTGATCTCTACGAAGCTGCTCTTCAAATTCCTCGTATACAGTTTTCTGATCATTTTCGTTTCTGTCCGCGAGTCCTAGGATGTCTAATGCACATAACTGTTCGTAATCAGCAGTGGTGGATTGGGTTAACAAGATGGGGTCCTCTCCCTCCTTCCCTGGGGACATCACCGTCCACCCAAGTAGGGTTCTTTCTGCAACTGGCTGTCCTGGCTTTCCCACCTTTTGGGCTGTAGTGGTTTTAATTTTAGCATAATCACTAGCCCCGAGCACAAGATGTATAGGTATTTGTGTACGGGTGTCAGGATCATCAAATTTTTTACCATTCAAATGTTTGTATCTCTAATACGTAATACGGCGTAACTTGGATGGTTGAGTTTCATTAGTTCAGGCTTATCGATTTTCGACATTTCAATCTCAAGCTCAAATTTCTGATCTAATGATTTTATGCTGGCTGCATAAACTTCTACTCTAGTGGTGGTAGATCCTAACATCTCAATTCGTTTTGTTTTAACAGTTTTTGGTTTTCTCTTCAACGCATTAGTTAGACCGCTGGAGGCATAACTGCTTCCAGCTCCTGTATCGAGCAGTGCGTGTGTTTTAATCCCATCCACATTATCCCACCAGCACTATTTGGTACATAATTTCGTCATCCCCCCCAGTTTGAGCTGTCTTCATTATCTCATGACTATCTGCCAATGGTGCATCACAAATTGAGGTGTGATGACGTTTATTACACAATCGACACTTTGAGATGCTCTTACATTCAGCTGCCCTGTGAGAGGGCCCTGTGCAGTTAAAACACAGATGATTTGTAGCTAGAAACCTTTCCCTGTCCTCAAATGCCATAATTGTGTCACACTCAGCAGATCTATGACTTTTTGAACTACAATATACACACTTTCGAGAACTTTTACTTATCTGCTTCTGCTGCGTTGACAACTGATATCCGCCTTGTCGTCGCTCTTGTTTCTTCTTCCAATCATCTGGTTTCTGAGCTTCAACTGGATTCATTCGAGTCCAAAGTCGCAATGCTTCGTTGAGTTGAACATAGGTCCAGTTTTCACAACCAGAATCACCTCGTACCAGGTCACCCTGTATGTTTGGTAGTTTATCCAATGTCATGGTAACTGTTCCTATCACAGCGTCCAATTTATTCACAGTCTCAAGTGACTTAACACAATATGATAACTTCTCATAGAATTCATATATCTTTTTAGTTCATTTGATGTTGTTGTATATGGAAGCTCAAGGATCTCTTTTACATACATTTCTACTATCTCGCTTTCCTTGCCAAATCTATCCTTGAGAATTGCAACAACTCTGTTAGCCTTCCGCAGTAAATGGAAGAGCTTCGATCGCACGTTTGGCTTTGTCGCATAACAACTCCCTCAAATAAGTGAATTTTGTAACAGGGGGCAGCCTATTTTTACCAATAGTCTCCGAAAATTGCCCCCAAAACCTCTGCCAGTCTCCATATGATCCATTAAATACTGTGATTGTTAGTTTTGGCAGTTTTGCTTGTAGGTTTGGGATAGAAATGTCATCTGGTGTCGGTCGTTTTGACGCTTCGTCAATCGGCTGAGCTTGTAATTTCATCTTGGCCGCGTGGAGTTCCATTTCAAAAACCATTTTCTTTCTACGATCGCTATATTCCCGTTTCTCTCGCGTTTCATTTAACCATTGTTCTCTGCTCCAAGATCAACTCAAGGTTTATCTTTAACTGCTGATAATTGCAATTCCGCAGTGAAAATAATGCAAAAACGGTTTGGAAGAACTCAGCAAATTATTACAAGCTATATGGACGAACTCTTAAAGATACCGGCTTTGTACTACGAGTGATCCCACATCTTCTCTTCGCTACGTTTATGATAAGATTAGTGTGCATGTGAGAGGGCTGGCTTCATTGGGAGTTTCAGCTGACAAGTATGGAAGCTTACTTATACCAGTTGTTATGGATAAGTTACCAAGCGATATAAGGCCGCAAGTTGCAAGAAAGGCGACTGGCGATGCTTGGCAAATCGATGAATTAATGAAGGCAATCAAGATTAAGGTTGAGGCTAGAGAAGCTAGCGAGCTGAAGATCCAAAGTAACCAGCCACTAAAGGATAGATCTCGTCAAAGGCATGATTATCTTACAGTAAATTCCTTAATTACAGGCAATTTCAAGCCATGCTGCGTCTACAGCGGGGAACATTATTCTGCATCTTGTGCAGTTGTTAGTGGTCGTAAGGAGGGCAAGGGTATTTTGCGGAAAACAGGACGTAAAATCGCTACAACGAAGATCGTTACAAGAGCCCGAGCTATTGAGAGAGTACGACCAGATCATCAAAGATCAACTAGAAGCAGGAATAATCGGGAGGGTTCCTCAGCAAGAAGCGGCAAAGTTGCAAGGGGTTCATTATATGCCTCACCATGGTGTTATTCGTAAGGACAAGAAAACCACAAAGCTCAGGGTGGTGTACGATGGGTCCGCGCGTCCCCTGTTGCCGCGAAGAACCATCCATTAATGATTGTATACATTCTGGACCTAATAACCTCATACAAAAGCTGGTTGATGAATTGGTAAAATTTTGAAGTCATTCCGTCGCCTTAGTAGCAGATATCGAGAAAGCATTTCTTATGATTGGTGTCAATGAGATTGTTCGGGGTATGCTGCGGTTCCTTTGGTTGAAGAACCCCCCAATTTGAACAGTAAAATCAATAATCTCAGATTTACGAGATTGGTGTTTGAATTGCGTCAATCGTCTGCGATTGTGAATTAAACTATACGTCAGCACTTACTGAATACAAGCATTTATCCAGACATTGTAAAACTCATCGAAGAGTCCCTTTATGTGGACGATTGAATTTCTGGGGCCGAAAGCAACGATAAAGCGTTTGACGTGTATAAAACAGCAAAGAAAGTAATGGTGGCTGGAGGTTTTAACTTGAGAGAGTGGCAATCGAATTCAGAAGCATTAATGAGAAATATTGACGAAGCAGAGTCCGAGATTAATCGTGAAAGTAATAAAGATCAAGCCATACCCGGAACGATTTAAGAAGAAGATGAAACTTATACGAAATCTGTAGTAGGATCCGGTAATAGTTCGAATGCTGATAAATTCGTAAAGTTTTTGATAGTTGAACAAAATGGTTTAGACAGTTGATCACTGAAGTGAATCAACAGGGGGAGTGTAAAGAACATTTATATTTATTCTTAAGACTAACTTTAGTATGTAAAATTATGTTAATTTATGTATGTGATTTTTGCCCACGTGATTATGTCGTGTTCGTTGCTAACATAAAATTCCGAATATTGTTTTTGATTCAAATACGATTGCGTTTCTATTTTTGTGTGAGAAATGTAAGCGAACGAAGTCAATAAATTTTACAGTGTCATTATCGATGCTCAGAAAATTTACCTGCAGAAGGGGTATGCGAAATAAAATAAATTACATTACATCAATAGTACTATTTGAAAATTAATCACATTATCTCTAACCAATCAGATTAGAAGAAACACCATTGATTTCACAAAATTAATATAATAAAAAGCGTAATTTCATGAATTTTATATAAATTTTATATATGAGACTTATTTAAGATCAGTATTCATATAAATTTTATATATGAGACTTGATTTGCACAATAAAGCCAGAAGATCAGGAAAAACGGGAACAACACCGCGGAGATTGGTAAGACTTAATACTTAGAGAGGAGACATGCGTCGCCACCGCAATTCAAAAACCGAACTATTTTTAACCTATTTAGTTACCTAGTTTCTATCGGATATTGATGCCTCAGCTACGGGTATGTCTCGCATTCCTTTTGATTTTACCAATAAAACATTTCTCTTAAAACTTTTTATTCCCCCACATCATAATTATAAGATTGGTCAATAATTAACACCTAAATACCGCGAAAAACGTAATGTTTTCTGAGTTCTCGGTAAATAAGTTTTTTTATTATAATTTATACCACTTGTCAAAGAAAAACCAAACAACGAGGTAAACAACGAAATATCTATTCATAAAAGACCTGGAGAAACAGTCAAGCTAGGAGACATAATTTCAAATAAAAAAGCATGTCGAGGTGATGTGCACGTGATTGAAGTTTTTATTTCCCAGAGGAAATTAGTACGATACGGTGGCCCAGAGGTGCAAAACGCAAATTCAAAAACAAAAACACAAATCATGAAAGCACGAACGCAAATTCAAAACAGAAACGCAAATTCAAAAACATAAACGCAAATCATGAAAGCATGCACGAACGCAAATTTCAAAACACAAACGCAAACTAACATCATGAACGGTTATCTTTAAAACCAGGAACGGGGAATGAAAATCTCACGAATCTTTAAAAGCCGGAATGAGAATCTCCGGAATCTTTAAAACCCGGAACGAGAATCTCCGAAATCTTTAAAACCCGGAATGAGAACGCAAGCAATTTGTCAAAGCACGCAATTTCAATCAATGTCAAGTCTAAATATCGTGAAAATCAAGCGTTATCGGAGTGCTTCGTATCCAGGCGAAATATTGGACCATCACCGAAGGCCTATTCTCTCTAACAAATACCTTTTTCTTCGCCTCGTCGTGGTCCTTGTCCTCGCTGTCTAACCAAGGACATGGACATTGGAATACAGGACAAGTGGCAGAAGGCATTCAATATACGATCGAATTATGAAATGAATACATGTCCACATGCGTGAAAAACGTTACAAAGTGAATCTTTTGTGTAGTCAGGTGCATCATATCTTCTGTGATTAAAGCTGTTAAAAAGTAAGTTTTATCAAACGAAACTTAATATTACTATTAATATTGAGAATAGTTTGGGGAAGCTAGCACTCAGCTCTAGCTCTTATAAACTGGAAAACACCGAAAACCTGCCCTGCCCTATCATATCAATACCTAATGGTATAGTAGCAGGTTCGACAGGTGCTTCCCGTGTAACCAGATTTGGTAAATTTTTTCCACTAGAGCCAGTCGGATGCATATAGACAGCCCATTCTGATTCTAATCGCACCACATTTAGACCAGGAAGTAATGATTTTAGCTTGTTTATCTAGCACATACCATGTCACTTGTCACTTGCTATTTGTTTTCCGACCAGGTTGACAAGTCTTCACTTTGTTGTATATATTACATTTCAATTGTCATTTAGCTTAGTGTTGTTGAACTGTCACATTAATTAATTTGCATGGGTGAAAAGGGACTCAAATTTGTTTGAGGTATTTAGCTTCCCCAATAATATGTCTGACTTTCATTTTACCACTAAAATATATTTTTTGGTGTCACAAAGAAATACTGAATTTTGCTTTCATGCAGTGCAATACCGTGTGCAGAATTTTATTGGTCCCTGGCTATATGTACTGCTGACTGGAAATTTTCTATGGCATGCTCATCCAGTGCAGTTATACTTGTTGCACCTTAACACAATGGAGTAGCCAGTAAATACTCCTGGGGCCGGTTTTAACAAGCCCGCTTAGCTTAAACGGTTGTTAAGTTCAAAATAGAAAGCAAGTCTATCGTTTTATTCAAGAAGCAAACTAAATGTTTATAACCTTAATACAAAGATACTGTTTACAACTACATATTTAGTGCATAATATTCAGGTTGACTCATTCAAGAGAGTTGTAAGAGTGTTATTTAATTTTCACTTAACCACCGTTTAAGCTAAACGGGCTTGACACAACCGGTCCCTGGTTTTCAGTATATACCCCATTGTGTTAAGGTGCAACAAGTATGAACTGCACTTGATGAGCATGCCATAGAAAATTTCCAGTCAGCAGTACATATAGCTACGGACCATGTGGCAAGCATTTCTAAAAAGATTGCTTCGGCCATTGGAGCCCATAAAACGATATACGCCAGTTCATAGATACAAAAACTGCCCTCAAAATTTACGGAGCTTTAATTCAACCGTATTTTGATTATTGTAGCCCAGTTTGGGATGGTATAAATACCACATTAAACGATAAGTTGCAAAAACTGCAAAATAGAGCAGCGAGGGTAATCACCAAATCTAGATTTGATGCTAGTTCCAGCGACCTTTTTAACAAACTAGGTTGGGATATTCTTTTAATACGCCGGAAAAAACATAAGGCTGTAATGATGTTCAAAACTCTAAATGATTTAACGCCGACACATCTTCATAGCAGCACTAGATACAACTTACGAAATTCTGAAAATACTGTATTTGTGCCAAAACCTCAAACAAATTATGCTAAACGAAGTTTTAGTTATAGTGGCGCAGTGTTGTGGAATGAGTTACCACTAAATGTACGAGCATTATGCTCCCTTAACCAGTTTAAAAGAGATGCTCTGTGTCGATGACCCCTCTTGTGTTATTTATAATCTCTATGCTTCAGAATGACACCCGAAACATTGGAAAACTTGTTGCATATCGTTGGTCCTCATATTCGTAGACAAACCACAAATTACCGAAACCCTGTAAGTCCACAACAGAGATTGGCTATCTGTTTAAGGTAAAGACAACAAATTTAGTAGTAATTTTTGTGGTGTGATACCAAGAATGACAAATATAACAGCAAATAGTATGTCCCACTCTGCCCCCCCTGACTAAGCCTGTATTAAAAATATACTGTCAGAGAAAAACTAAACTGTTTCACTGTCAGTATTGTAAAGAAATTAGATAAGGATGAGTGATATTAGCAGGTTTTCGAGTCTTCCAGGCTAGGGCAATTTGTATGCTTGTTCATATAAGCTAAACTGAACACCGCGGAAAAATGTCTGCGCACGCGCCGGAATATCAAAATATGATGGTAAATTTAAATATCAACTTTTGGAACAAAACATGCCCATTTTTTGATAAAAAATAAGTTAAGAAAAGGCAAAAATATACAAGACGGCCAGACAACATAAATTAAAAGCCTTCTAGCATTTTGAGTATCGAACGAACTGGAATTCACGGTAAATTTTCCTTTTTTACGGGGTGGCTTTAGAATATTTTTCGAAAACAAAAGTTTAAACCTAAAAGTTAAGAAAACCCGCGGAAAGTTAAGCTTTCTAATCTATTTAAATTGTAAAATACATCTTAATTTTCAATCATTGAGAACACGCAAACGTTTCGTATCTGGCGACATGTTTTTTTTTAATAAAACGTGTCTCAATTAAAAGTTCGGAAACTGTCGTTGCTTATTTTATAAACAAAATGTTTGAGACGAAAAATTTGTTAACAGTCACCTTTTACAGGTGTTTTTGTAGGATGCCACTTCTAGGACTCTCTGGACGTTTTTTCTCTTAGTTTCTATCATGCAATGTTTATTTATGCTCTCGAAATATGGATTTGAAGACACGAATGAAATGACTCCTTTTTGCCGCCATTTTTAGCCTTCGGAAACGTTCGGAACCGCTTTTTAGTTATTTTTAATCTCACTTACAGGCAGAATTGACGCGTGCGCAGACGTTTTTCCGCGGTGTTGCTAAGCTGTATATGAAAATAGCAGCATGAAAATAAGGTGTTGTTTATTAAAATACTTGGTTAAGGTGGCTCCCTACAATTTTTTAAAATATTGAAAACTTGTGGTTTTGATTTAAAATTTTAGCACGATATTTCTTGCTAAGGAAAAGAAGTTTCCCAGATATATTGACCAACATTCTAACAGTCAGAAATTGCCCATAAGCATGACGCCATTACCGTTGTTATGGTAACAATAGCGATTCAATATGGCCGACATTTTACCTATTCACGCATTTTACTCGAAAACAAGTTCGGTTACCCTAATTTTTTAATTTACGAAAAGTGTTCTCCACAACTACTTGCAGAAATCTACTGGTAAGTTGGTAACCGCACACCAGTTCCAGATGAAAGCGATGGCCTTCAAGAATACCAAGCAATGCAAAATTTTACAAACATGGACTGTAAAGCATCTGCTGATGCTGCTATATGTCACATGCTGTTAGGGATAAGTTTAAAGTATATTCCTGCATGGGCGATGAAAAGGTTTCATGGCAATACAATACAGTCCAGAGAGGATTCAACCGTAGTATTTAACAGTGGGCTATAGCAGGCTGTAACGATAAAACATTACACTGTAAATTAAGTGTTTAAGAAATAGAAAACATTTTCCGTGTTTCTATACAGTTATAGAAACACGCGTGGGAGTTTGGGAGAGCGAGAAATAATCAGTGGGAAAACGAGCCCGTAGGGCGAGTTTTTCCACGTTATTTCCACGTTATTTAGCGATTCAGTGAATGTACATGAGACTAAACTGCAATAAATTTAGTTCCGCAATTTTTCATGCAAAATACACAGCCTAAATTGGTTAAAACACCAATTTTGTGAACACGCTTCATGCGTGGTTTGTGTGCAGACATATAATTGTGAGAATAAGCGATTCTTATAATATAGATCAAAATTTAGCATTGAAAGTTATGATTATTTTCAGGTACAAAGCAGGGAAAAGGTTGTTCTGCCGACGGTTCGTCAATTCCTGTTTGCTCTGGTAGAATGCACATTATATATGCACATTATATATACATTTTCTCAAACATTTGTGATATAAATACAAAAGAGATGTTGCGTTGTTAAATTGAAATATTTTAGGCATTTATCTAATGTAAACTGTCTAGAAATACCATAAAATTAACCTGGGTCATAGCAGGTTAGAACAATATACGTTTGCCTGCAATACAGACGCTGAGCAACCAGGAAGTAAAGTGCTGTTAACTACGAATTTTTCAAAGCATGTTTCAAGCATGTTTTACCGATTCAACGTAAGCTTTTTGAAGTATTTTTCGAACAGCTTTTGTCCACATTTTACATAAGATAACCATTAATTGATTACAAGACTTTTTGAACCGAAGAAGAAACGGCGCGCATTATGTATAAAATCTTGCAACGTTCGCTTATCTCGACATGTTTGCATTCATTCTTGAACATAATCTAAAGATAACCGTTTTAAAATGTATGGTAAATGTTGTTAAAACTTGTGCTGTTACATGAGCTACCTGAGTAGTAGACTGCAGTCGTACGGAGCAAGAATTCTCTGCTGTGATTACATTTAGTTTCTTGAAATGAATATTCTTAATTTGTGTCATAGCAGAAGCTATAGATGCGATAAAAAGGGGTGCATAATTTTATTCATATACTCGTTCTTTCCGACGGATTTCTTCGAAAGAAATCCGTCAGGCAGAACATAATTTGATCTTGAATTTTAAATATTTGTTAAAAAAAACTTCTTCCGCTCTTTTGTTGAAAAAAGAAAGATCGAGACAAGAAGGTACGTAGACGTTTCAAATTTTTGAAATGATTTCTGTTTTAATTTTTACGATATCTGGATATATTTCTTCCGGAAAGACAAATTCCCAATACAGTCCAGCAAATAACGAATGCGATAAATAATAACGTTAAATTAAAAGATATATACAAAATTCGCATTAAGACTAAGATGAACACGACCTCTTATTTTCAGGCCTCTTATTTTTTGCATCCAAATATTTTATAATTTCTGAAACTTCATCCCGTGGCTTTCGTCTCTTGCCAGCTGATTTAAGGGTGACACCCATAGAAGTGGTTGGTTGTAAAGTAGATGTTTTTGGTTCATTTTCTTCTTCTTCTAAAGGGAATAAAGCAGTACCCATTTCATCTTCGTCTGTATAAAGAATGGCTGTATCGTCTGCATTAAAATCTTTGTCTTTTGTGATTACTTCAATCATGTTTGAAGACGTGCTGTAAATTTAGGTAAAATATTTTGTTGGCTAGTACTAAATAGTAAAAGATTGGAAAATGGGCACCTTACTTGGTGGTACTTACAAAAAATATCTAGCTCCGTAGCAATGCTGGTCCAAATGTTTTCTTTAAGTTCCTTGTCTTTATAGTGTGAGCCGTTTTTGTTATACAATTCTTTATAATTTTGAACTAACAAAATTAGCCGCTCATCTATTGTTGGAGTCGCCATATTTTCTTGGGTTGGCATATTTTTCTTGATTTTTTGCTTGTCTTTGATTTGTCGAAACAGCGCGAGTTTTCTTGCAGCGCGAAAAAGATCGCTATGCGGGCGAACTTTTTTGTATCGCTGAGTGAAAATTCGCCTCTTTGCGCCTGGTCTGAACGCTGCTTATCAAATACATTACATTGATTTTAATTTTGCCGCGCCGCGATAAAAAACCGCCGCATCGCGATGCAAAAATCATCGCGTCGCGTCCGGTGTGTGTGGGCCTTAATCTCCCACTGCAGGATTCGCGCGGACGACATAAGACTTTCATCATTGTCGCGTGATTCGCTCTCGACCAATGAAACGCTGCGAACAGTAAACTTTCACAAGTGGTATATGATAAATTTATTCTGTTATTACCATTTTTGCGTGGGCAGCAATCACTAGCCAATGGGTAAACTCATATATACCGCACACAGAGATGGATGACGCTTGAGCATTTATGTCCTATTTAATTCAGCACTGTCAGTATTAACAATCCATTTCTTAGTCGCGTTGAAACATAGCAATGGCATCAATTGCTGTGTATTACTGCTTATTTCTTCTGTTTTGCTTTGGTGTGCTAGAGGGGTATAGTGCTTGCGATCATATAAACTATACCACGATCAATAACATTCGTCGCAGTACAGCGTACAATGCTACGGCTGGATTGTGTGATCGTGGTTTTATCAAAGATGGATCGTGGTACCGATTTCAGAGTGACGCCGGTGACAAAATGCCCGAGTTTAATCCAGGGATTAAGAGTTGCGGAACATTCGTCCCCATTTGGCTGAAAGGAAATCATCCATCTACAGTTGGCGTCGAGGTTGACAGGATGGCGTGTGCGCCACTTCCACATGCCTATCCATTCGACTGTGGCCTCAAATATGATATTAAAGTGATAAACTGCGGACGTTTCTTTTTGTATCAACTAAAGGAACCTTCAACTTGTAACATTGCTTACTGTGCAGGTACGTCAAACTGAAGCACGGACAGGGAATGCCTGTCAGTTGTATTTTTATAGTGTAGCGATTGAGTGAGACTCAACTGCAATAAATTTAGTTCCGTAATTTTCCATGCAAAATACACAGCCTACACAGGTTAAATACCAGTTTTGTGAACACGCTTTATGCGTGGTTTGTTTGCAGACATATAATTGTGAGAAATGGCGATTTTTAGATCAAAATTTGGCATTGAAAGTTAGGATTATTTTTCAGGTACAAAGCTGGGAAAAGGTTGTTCTATCGACGGTTCGTCAATTCCTGTTTGCTCTGGTAAGATGCACATTATATGTACATATTCTCATAGATTTTAGCTATAAATACAAAAGAGTGGTTGCGTTGCTAAATTTAAATCTTGTAGGCATTTGTCTAATGTAAACTTCCTCGCGAAACACCATAAAATTAACCTGTGTCAGAGCAGGTTAGAACAATAAGTTTGCTTGCAATACAGACGCTGAGCAACCAGGAAGTAAAGTGTTGTTGTCTAAGAATTTTTCAAAGCATGTTTCAAGCATGTTTTATCGATTCAACTTAAGCTTTTAGATTATTTTTCGAACAGATTTTGTTCACATTCTACATAATTAACATAAGATAAAAAATAATTGATTGCAAGACTTGCAATCAATTGATTGCGAGACGCTTATCTCGACTTGTTCGCATTCATTGTTGAACATGATCTAATGATAATCGTTTTAAAACGTATGGTACATAATGCTAAAACTTGGGTGGCTACATGAGTTACCTGTGTAGTAGACTGCAGTCGTACAGAGCAGGAATTCTCTGCTGTGCTTACGCTTAGTTTCTTGAAATGAAAGTGCTTAATTTTTGTCATAGCCGAAGCTAGATGCGATAAAAAGGGGGTGCATAATTTTATTCATATTCTCGTTCTCTCCGACGGATTTCTTTTGTACGTATACGCGTTTTCAAAAGAAATCCGTCAGGCAGAACATAATTTTGAATATTCAATTACCGTTCAATTAGTTTCAGCCCTGCGTGGGGTTGGGTTATCATTGACATTGTGTATGACACTTAACAAAAGTCTACACTGTAAATCTCGCAGTGTTACGCCAACACCAAAATGGTGTAGGATAACACCAATTATATCATTCACTTTATAGTATTCTGAAATCTGATTGGTTAAGTTACCTGCAAAGAACTGCGTGCAAATATCGATTAGCGGCAAATAACTGCATGCAAATACGTTTCTCAGCATGGCACTTTAAAAATGATTCGTCAGCTGAAATAACACATATCGTTAATCGTTTTGTCGTTAAAATGGGTCGCTTTGTCGCACTGAAGGAGAGCGATCTGGCAGTGGACTATAGGATGAAAAATACTCTCAATCGAAAATAAAAAGAAGCAACAGAAGTTGCCATAAAACTTTTTCGGGGATATTTACTCGAAAACGTTTGAGAGAAGCTGAGATTTCGTAGTCTAAAGTGAAACTTGCCAAGGTTCTGGAAAAAGTTATCCCGAAGCAAGAAACAAAATGAAACTTACTGCACAAAGAACGTTTGCAACAATTTTTCGACAGTCAGTAGAATAATCAAATATGAATAGATAATTTTTATAATCAAAGATCAAGCCGGTAAAATTAGAGCGCGAGGGAATGGCGAAAACGCAACACAAACCACAAAATAATAAACAAAGATCTCCCTTCGGTACTCTGCATGAAAATAATTTATCTTCTCGTCACTGCAGAAGAGTGTGTTGTTGCGTTCAATATTTTAAAACTATAATAGGATAATATTGGAATTGGCTGATATACGTAAAACATTACATTACCGTTCTTTTGTTGAAAAAAGGACGGGACATTAAAGAAGGTAGCTACGTAGACGTTTCAAATTAGACTGGAACATGCACCTTCTTATTTTGAACGAACTTAAGGGCGTTTTGAATCGTTTTAAAATTAACAAAACGCCTGTTCTGGCGTTAACTCCGGCGCACGTGCCAGTCTTTAATATAGAGCTTCTGAACATAAACAATACAGTTCATTTATCGCTTCCGTTTCAACTACGAACCCTATAGGAAGTGCCGGCGGTTTCCGAGACTGCTGAGCTCTGTTTTCTGGGCAAATTAAAGGCATGCAACTGCAATAAACAATGACACTTTTTGAATAGAATAATGGCATTGTGCCAGAGCACATGCCGATTTAATTCAACCAAAAGTAACAAATTATAGCTAATTGTTACAATGTTCGTATTTTAGTACAGCACAGAAAATGTGGGGTGATAAAAAACGCCACCAGACGACTGAGCTAAGGAGGGCGCCCCACCCCATCAGGCTTGGGAAACGCTGGCAAAACTAGATTATTAGAAAAGAAGAAAAATAGAAAAGCAAGACAAACGGGAAAAGTTACGCAATATATATTCGCAAATCTATAGTAGAGTAACTACCCTGCACTTTGTTTGCATCATCATGTTTCAAACGTAATGGTACCCCGGAAGACGCGATTGCGCTGAAGCCGATCCTGAACCTAGCCACTGCATTAGAACACGGAGCGACTTCTTCTAGGCAATTGCTACCTTGACACCTATCATCTACTCATCATGCAGTCGCTAGCCTAGCCCCTGCATCAGCTTTACGACAGACACAATTACGCATTTCAACTACGACAATATAGCGCATAGCCGTTTGCCTCGCTAAACACAGAAGGCAGCCCCCGTCAGTTCCACATAGTTACAGAAACGAAGAAGTTAAACTAGGAGCTCTAATGTATTTGCGAAATGCATCCGATCGCCAGCGCCCCATAGCACGTATATGGGTATCAGAAAAACCCCGTTCCGCCGCGAAAGTGGCCGCCCCGATACGAAAACTGTGTCCTTTGTACCTGGAGGGATCTAGGCCACTGGACCGAAAAACTAATGATAAGACGTTGGTAAATAAAGAACGAGGAACGGCGGAACCCGAACTCAGTCGAAACAAAGGCCCGTTGGAAAAACCGCGGACAGCTAAATAATCAAGTAATCCTTGAACCGGACATAGATCCGCACGACGCGACAACGTTATGTCGACTGGGCTTTGGTTGTAAGAATGCTTAAATTCCAGAAACGTAGTCTTAAACCCGACTACGGCATTCGTGGCGTCAACAATCTTAACTAGCTGGTTGATATGGAGCACGGATGACGACCTAGAGCAGGTAGTAATCTCACCTACTCTCAAAAAGGCGAAAAAGGCAGTGGTGCACATGGCTCTAAACAGCTTAGCGTCATAGGCGGTCGAGCTAAGAGAGGATATATGTAGCAAAACATTGCGGAGTATCGGCAAGGTAATTGGTAAGCGAGAATCCATCCTACTGCCTGTTTTTTTATAGCCTTTCAAAAGCTCTATAATCCCGGCCAGCAAACTTTGGTAGGGTCAGAGTAACCGGCCAGGCGCTAAGCGCTGTCTAAGAGGCATACCTATGCTGGAACATAAAAGCAATAAATAAACTCAAGTCTGATGGTGAAATAGGAATCGACACTGACGCTGAGTGAAAAACCTCGTGCGAAAATTGTTGGTACAAACGCCAAGCACGACGATAAGTTGGAACTGACGACGGCTTCAAACTTGATTGGAGGAGAGTGGAAGTTATAGCTGCCAATTGCGTGGTAGAAGCTGGAAGGGAACCACCGTTGGTGACGAATGGACGCTCGCGGATGCTAGCGATCGGAATTTTGAAACCTGTAAACGTGACAAGGCGTCAGCCCGAATGTTTTTTACACCTGGAACATGTTTGGCACGGAATAAAATATTGAATTTTAAACAAGCCAGCACCAAACGGCGAACAAATATCATCACGGTGGGATCCCAAGAGGTGATCTTATTGATAATCTCGACCAATGCTGCGTTGTCTGTGTAAAATAGTATGCGTTGGTTTTGCATAAAGGCGGATTTCCACTTACAGCGAAATCGTTCGCTAGCGAAATATTTGCATATTTTCTTTTGAATTCGAAACAGTCAAGTGGAACTAATTTATTTATTCTGTTAAAATTCAAAAGAAAATATGCAAATATTTCGCTAGCGAACGATTTCGCTGTAAGTGGAAATCCGCCCTAAGGTGACCCCATAAAAGTACACTTAGGACGATTGGATAAAATTCTAAAATAACAATGTTTAACTTTTTCCAATCCTCGGGCCAAGCACCGAAACACCAGTGATTTCCAAATATGGCCCCAAAGCCAAATCCAGCCGCTGCGTAAGTGTATAAATTCAAAACCTCGGATGGGAGCCAATTGTCAGAACGAAAAAACGAGCGGCCATTGAAATCGTCAATAAAAGAATTCCAAAGATTTAAATCGGCTTTAACGGACATTGTTAATCGGATAGAATAATGAGGCAGAGCGATCCCCTTAGTGATGTCAATCAAGCGACGCAAAAAAGCCCGTCTTGGTGCTACTACAGTACAAGCAAAATTTAACAAGCCAATTAAAGATTGAACCTCTCTTAAAGTAACCTTTCTCCCTTTAAGCATTTCGGTAAGAATAGATCCCGTTTTGACGATTTTATCATTGGTTAAACGAGCTTCCATCGCTTTTGTGTCAAGCTCGATACCGGCAAAAGTCAGGATATTCGAAGGGCCGGCTGTTTTCTCATGGGCATTTGGCACCCCTAAATAGTTACACAGAGCTATAAAATTTTGTAAAGCAACGCAACATTGGTCGTACGATACGCCTCCGATGAGGTAGTCATCAAGGATATGAATAAGATGCTGTATGTTTAAACGCGTCTTAGCTACCCATTCAAGGGCGGTGCTAAACATTTCAAAAGTGCGGCTGGAAGATGCACAACCCATCGGCATAGCGCGGTCAAAATAATAGTTGCCTTGCCATAAAATCACCAATAAGGGGTAATCGCTAGGACGTATGGGAATAATCCGGAATGCGCGCTTAATATCAGTCTTAGCCAAAAAACAATCTCGCCCCAAACGTTTAATAATGGCAATGGCATCATCTACTCGACTATAAGAAACCGAAGTATTTTCCGAGGAAATACCATCATTGATGGATGACCCTTTTGGAAAGGATAAATGGTGAATTAGCCGAAAGTCACCCGGAACTTTTTTAGGTACAACCCTTAATGGTGAAAAATGAAAATTGGGAAATGGGATGCGGTCAAATGGCCCTGCAATTCTACCTGCCGCAATTTCTTTACCCAGTTTAGCACTAACCACCTCAGGATTCTGATTCGCCGAAGCTTAATTGTTAGAACAAAACGAGTGGGGAACGCCCTCAAAATGAAGGGGAAACCCGTAATTAAAACCTTCAAATAATTTTAAAACAATTGCAGCATCA